TACTCTTATTAAAACCAATTGGTCTCCAGATTTTAACACAAACAAAATACATCTGATCTATAAGACTTTGTGAAGTCAACTGCTCTGTCACAGTGCATTTTACAAAGTGACGTGACTATACTTCCACATCTGTTCAGCATCCGTTTCAAGGTTAAGTGAAAACAATATCAATTGACCCCTCATGTAGCTTCAGTCCCATGTTCAGTCCCCTTCACCAACCCTTTTTTATAAAAGTTCTGGTCCTTCTTTCTGTCGGCCTTGGTGTGATAAGCCCTGCAAATTGTTATACTCTATTTCAGTGTTTTTCAACCTTCTTGAATACGCAATCCCTTTACAAGTTAAAAAATTCTGGCGACCCCCCTAGGTCCATATTAAAACTATATCAGTGATTTTAAAAACTATGTATTTTAATTTTCTTTCTGTTGAGACAAATTATTCTTGATTAAAATGAAAATTTCAGAAGAATTGACAATAATTTAACACACATAAAGTATGAAACTTCCTTTAATTATAACATTAGGCACAGTGAACTGTTGACTTTTTTTTTTTAGGACCTCAAATTTCAGCTTCTACTTTTCTATTTTTTATTTCTTTTTGCAAATCAGATCAACACTTTTTCCGCTATCATTTTCCGGGGTGGGCCGTAATTCTCACTGAAATTGTAGTTTTTTTAATGTAGTGTAGGATCTACAAACACTTGTCTTTTTCTTCTACCTGCAACCCCCCGTATAAGGCTTCGCGACCTCCCTGGGGGTTGCGACCCACAGGTTGAAAAACACTGCTCTATTTATTAGATTATCTAATTCTGTCTAAAGAGCTAATTTTATTGAAAATACAAGATGCAACTACAAAGTTCAGAACTAAATTCATACAAGTTTTTGACAGAAATGATTCAATTTAGTATCAGTTTTCAAAATAGACTCCTCCATAATCTATACAAATTTCTGCATGCTTTAGTAATTGATGTATGCACTCCTGAAAGGATTTTTTTGGAATACTGTGTAGTCTCTTCATTATAACCTTGTGGATTTATGCAATTGTTTGCCTTTCAAAGGAAATTTTAATTTGGAAACAGGAAGTGGTCAGTTAGGATTCACCAGACCCAGCCCCAGTTGACTGAAATTGTTGCTCTTTTAAAGCAAAAAAAAAAGGGTGACAATTTCAGTCAATTTAGAAAATCCAAGAGGCCAAGAGGAGGAAACTAAACAATATTTCCAAAAGACCCTTTCATGAATGCCTACATAAATTACTGGAGTGTACAAAAATTAGTATAGATCACAGAGAAGTGAAAACTAATACTAATTTCTTCCAAAAACTTTTTTATAAATTCAGTCTCCAAACTTAGTAGACATACTTTGTAGAAGGAATAATAAATATTCTTTTGTGCCAATAAAAAAGTTAAAACACAAAAATCCTAGGTTTAATTAACCAAGAACCTTTAGATATAACCAATGTCAAGAATTACAAATTTTTTTACACTAAATTAAAAAGTTATTGTATTGATAAATACCTTATAAAATTATTTAATCAGTTCCCATATAATCAAAATAATTCTTAAAAATAAAATTTCTTTGTTATTTTGTATATGATAAAATAAATTTTAATAATAAATTGTCAATTAAAATAACTTTTTATTATATTTTGTAATAGGGATATCCACAAACCACATAGTCCAGTTGAAGAAAATAGGGAATAAGTCAGTGGTTATCAAGGCCACTATAACAGAGGAGGGATACAGGACCATCTGGACATATAGCGTAGCTTCTTAAAAAAAATTATTCTAAATTGAAATATAGATGAATATCTGTTGAAAGTGTTTTATAGACATGATGTCATTCATGTGGAGAATCATATTAGGGAAAATATTAGCAGAAACTTCTCCTTCTTTGATCCTAAGGCTCATGACAGGTTGGGATTTCATCTGGAGTCCACACACTGCTGTAGATGCTGCTGGCCTTCCAACTACACTCATAATGCCTTAACATATATTCGCAGAAGCAATGTTGAGCAAGAGACAATAAATCAGCAATACTGATCAAGAACTGGTGATACAACAGCAGTGCTAGTCGATACAATTACACAATTGTAATTATAATAATCCCTCCATTGATGCAAGTAATTAGTTCCACAAAAACAGAATGTAAATATAAACCACATAAATGGAACCTTACAGAGTTGTTTAAAATAGGAATCTGTTTTATATTCTCAAATACAGTGTTTTATTGAAATAGAAAAGTTTTAACTAAAGCATTTTAAATATACCTTTATATAAAAGATTACTGATAACAAGAACCACACTTTTTGATGTAATTATCACTTATTTCCATAATATTAATTATTTAAAATTTAAAACATTTTAAACCACAGTAATAAAGTAAATTTACATAAATGGAGGGATTACTGTATTTGATTTAACTCATTATTATAAAAAAATTAATAAGAGATGAAATATAATATAGTTACACAATAGCATTAAAAATTCATATTTTATAGTTTTTATGTGAATAATTATAATAGTATAATACAAATTCTAAAACTTAAAAGAACTGAAACATTTAAAACAGAGAAAACATTAGCCACTGAACTTAAAACTGTTAAAATTGTTTTCTGTGACTGATCTACTGTTTTTTTTGTTTTGTGTATTTTTGCTTGTTCAGAGGGAGTTAAAACAAAAAAAAACTTTTGCTATTCTAATACTTGGTGTTTAAATTATTTGGGAGTTCAGCTTCCTTAGACTACAGAGTTTTAAGGGTAAGGATCATTTGGAGGTCATTTAAAAAACATTGGGATACATGGTTTCTGGATGTTCCCATATATTATTATATATTATTAATATTATATGAATGTTAATGTATTATTTGAACTTTGCTAATATAAAAATAAACGTTCATATTTATATTATTTAAACTAAGTACTTCACAGTATTTTTATGACAAAAAGTTTCAATTAGAAATCATAATAGTTTTTGAATGTCTTTAAACTATATATTATACTTTAATATCTTCAAGGTGTCTTCTTAAGATTAGTAGTCCATGTAATATTTGAGATTAACTATTCAAAATACTTTTTTTTTTTTAATCAGAAAATAGCCTATTATAGCATTAAAAAATATTTGTAATTATGTATTTTTTTATGATGAATAAAATCTATAATTACATAATCTACATCTTAAAACATTCAGGTCCTTGGTTTATAACTAATATTCAAAATATAATAAAAAATCATATATTATGAATATTTTAATCCAAAAATTATTTATTTCTTGAACGTTAACTCAAGAACTTTGAATTTTTAAATAAAGAAACTAAGTTATAATTTCAGAGTTCTTAAATGAATAATGATTTAATATACCATAAATGAAAATTGTTTTGATTAGGAGCTATCCATAAACTATATCTACATTTTTCTTGAAATTTTTACTCACCCTCCCACTTTTATTCCAGTTTGTCCAAGTTTCCATAACACCCCTCCTCTTTTTGGATATCCAACAAAACTCAACCCCCTTAAAACCTTTATCACTTTATGAATAATAGATACCTTATTTAAAAACAAAACATACAAGAAATTTTTAAATGAATATAATAAAGTGCATAAACTGTTTAAAATTTAATGAAATAAACAGACACCACAGACACACCCTTTCTCCTGGTCTAACCCCCTCTCCTCCAATGTGGATGTCATTTACGAACAGCCTTACATAAAATAATTTGCTAGAAAACATTAAACATTTTAGATGGCATCAAATATTGCTTTATTCAAAGCAAACTCTTCAATTATTAGAGGAAAAAAATTAATAAAAATATTCAGAAGATGACCTCTAAATAAATTTGCATCATAGTTAATATTTTCAAAAATCTATATACATTTCTACACACCGGTTAGAAGCTCGAGTAAGTAGGTTTTATTTATTTATTATACACACCCCGATGCGCATGAAGTTATATTCTATATATAATATTACGAACGGCAAAAACTTTTAATACTATTTGAATATTATTTGTTGATAAATCTTTTATCAAGAATAATTAAACAAAAATAACATAAAAATGTAACAAAATGATAGTCGACAGAAGCAGTACCAGCTCTAGCCATTATCTGCATCCCCTGCGAAAAGTTTCGGTAAGTCCCAGGCCCACCAATCGATATACTAGTGTAAATTTCGTGTCCATTTACTCTCGGTACTCCGAACGAACCTCGACCACACCGTTTAGTCATACCACACCTAGAGCAGGCACCAGAGTTTACGGACGGGAACAATTTTTCATAGTCACATTCCGTGAAATACGCCACCATCAAATTATTAAGATCTCGTAGTTTTTGAAGAACTCATTTGGATTAGCGACAGCATACGTACGTTCCTCTAGATATCAATCGACATACACGTTAAGTAGTCTCTCCATTTTAATAGCGGTAGTAGTAGTAGTCTCATCCACTACCGTATACGTAACTTTCGGCCAATCTTACGGACTTTTGCCAATGCAAATACGCGCGGCAGCGTCGGAACCGTAGCTCCGGTCGAGGACGGATTCAAAACGGAACATTTTACGGTACGCGACTACGAAGCATCGTTCCCGTCCATAAAACTCGAACCCCATTCCCGCGAACCGGGAGTTTACGGAAATGAATTTACAACATATTAAAGTTTTAATTTCTTTAAAAAAAAATATTATTTTATTGCTTAATTAATTTTTAATACAATAATTCTCAAAATTTAATATTAAATCATAACATTCGTAAAGGACTTAGGACAAGCAAAACACGTGTTTAAAGGACACGAGGTAAAGAAAACCATATCACATTAAACGTCTTATAATGATTATAATTATGTAATTATGAATTAGCCTGTGTTTTTTGTTATGATATTCGAATATGCAAACATGTTAAAAAAAATGGCATAATTTATGATTGTTAACGGTTAGAGAAAGGGAAATGTTTAAAAATTTTATTTTTCGTAATATTTTTATTTATTTGGTTGGTTTTTTATTCAGTTTAAAGAATACCTTTTTAGAAGCGACGATAAATGGCGACCGAGAAACGAAGCAGAACATCAGCGACGCATGCGTAATAAAACAGACGATTTTGGTGTATCTTTTGCAAGATGGCGTCTAGGTTACTCAAGTTTACTGCTGTTGTGAGAAAATTTGCCGGTCATTCGCAAATCGTAAGTTAAATTTAAATGTGTACGGAAAATATTTTATCAAATTTAAACTTTATAAGTAAATATTATCATTTAATCAGTTTTTATTATATATTAATTAAAGTTTGTTTATAAACTTATATAACTTTTACCCTAAAATATCTTCATAACCTGAAGAATTTAATATTTTGAGATTTTTATAAATAAATAATTTATTTTACAAGTTAAAAAAAAAAAGCTAATATTTCATTGGAACGTTTAAAAATTATATGGATGAATTTATATTAGTTTAATATTCAATTTTTCAAAATGTCATATTAAATTTCATGTGAAAAGCTTCTGTGTAACTGAAAAATCCTTATCACACACTGTACTATGTGTCCTGCCATAAGTAAGTATCCAATCATCCTTGGCTTCGTTTGAAGCGGTGCTATGACAAAAAGATTGGACTGCTATGGACTAGTACTGTACTGTCTTTAGCAATGAATCCTGATTCTGTTTGGGGAATGGATGACCGGCATGTTAGTGTGTAGGACCGCTGATGAGTGTTTTTGTTGTACGGTTTCTCCGACTTTTATTGTCGAGCGGTATGCCGTTTTTGTTGTTGGTGTGCTGGTCTTGTAGTTGGTTACCTCTAGTAGTGATGCAAAAGGATGTTGACCTTTTATGATGGTGTTGCAAGAAGCCATTTTCCAGCAATATCTCACATGCTTGTTTGGATGTATGCAGCTAGGGTTTCCGGGAATATCTTTGTCTTGTTGCCACACTTCTTTGTCTTGCCCAGTCTTTAAATTTCTCACTTATTGAGCATTTGTTGGGCCATATGGGACACCAGCTTTGGCCATGTATGAGTGTAAGTGATCTGGGCTGTGTTCAGTAATGCAGAATTCTTGCTCTACTTATGCTGTGATGTTAAACTTGTTTCTAACTACTGCCTGACTCCTCCCATCGCTAGAATTCTAGCTAGTTCAGTCAGCTTCTTTTATCTATGCTAACTTCTACTAGTGACACCATTGTTTTTGTCTTGTTGTACAATTTGCAAGATAGCTGCTTGTGTTTGACTAAATGTATCTTATTATAACAATCACAAAGTTATTCTCTCATTCTAAATCATTAACTCCTCCAAAAATGACTTCAAAATGTAAAATTATCATACGTCAATATAACAGATTCCGAATACATTTCATTCATTCATGGGTGTTCTGTTCTAGGACAGGTCCATGGAAAGCAATCAAATTATAGAATTTTCCTTCTCCAACATTCTCTATTTCAAGCTTCCTCTTTTATTTCTTTATAAGTTTTGCCTAGTAAAACATCATCTATCACATTTGCCTAGTAAAACATCATCTATCACGAATACATTTAATGGAAGATAACTGTCCATTTCATTGATTACAATTAATAATTGCTTCATTAATTTTATCACGGTCTGATGCAGCTTTCATTTGAATAATTTTATTGGTTACTTCATTCTTTTCGACCAGTTTGTTTGTGACAATTGTTGCAATCATAATTTTAACTTCGTCTACCATTTTGCCCAATTGTCTAACTAAGAATAATTGTTTAATGATGCTCAGAACATTCTTAGCTCCATCCACTAAGCCACTCAGAATTCTAACTTAGGTATTCTGCATTACTGAACCACAGCCCTGGTGGCAGTTGCAACATCTGTGGACAAATGTGTCACAGGATAGTGGTATACCCAATTGTATTGCTGCATATATCCAGGCAAGGTTGTGAAGGTTGTAAATACACCATCACAGTAATTTTATCCAATCCAGCAACAGGTTACTTCTCTGGAAAAACTAACATTTTTGATCTGTGAATTAAATGGTTTTAGTGAAGGTTTCTTTAAACTGTATTGTTGTTCCGTAAGAAAAGTCTTTTTATGACTGTGATTCTGATGAAATTTGTTCAAATTATTATTCACTTTTATATTAATTATTTTTAAGCCATTACTTAAGTAATATCTTAAACAAATTTCTAGCTAGAGGTAGATGATTTCTTAATTTAATCATGTAAAAAGATTTGAAAAAATTCAACAGTCTGGTTTATTAGCTTAATAATTGCTTTATTTGAATCTAAAACTCACAAAAAAGTTTTTTTAGTTAACTTCATATAAAGTAGTTTATTTAATTTGTATCTATAATGTATTTTATTTCTGTTACTTGGTTTATTGTTTTGCTTATCGAGTAATTAAAATTGTTTGTGTTGTATATATATAATTTCAATTGTGTTTAACATTTAAGACATACTTTTGTTTATATAAATGAAAAATTACTTTGCTTGTACAATTCTGATCAAAAGTATGGAATATTTTGTTATTGTTGTGGAAAAATTATTTTGATTCTGGATTAATCAAACTTACAAAAATGTTATTGAACTTTTAACTATTGGCAAATGTAATAGACATATTAAAATATTTACACATGAAATATTGTAAAGATACTTGCATAAATTACAAAGTTATAGCATTTTAAACAGAGTTGAATGAAAGGATGAAATCAAGAAAAACTTAAAATATGGAATACTGATGATTAATATTTTGTAAGGCCACCTTTTGCTCCAATTACAGCCTTAAGTCATTGTGGTAGTGTAGAAATAAGCTTTTTACACAGTTCTGGATCAACCTGTGACCATGATTCTTTGATTGTCATCATGAATTTTTCTATTGTAGCTCTTTTTTTAGACACAACTTTCTTCAGAACATTCAAAACATATTCAATGAGAGATATATCTGGACTATTGGCAGGCCATTCTAAATGCTGTATGTTATGTTCTTGAATCTATTGCTTAATTTGTCTAGTCCTATGGCATGATGGATTGTCATCCTGGTAGATATGAAATCCTCATCATCAAAATGATCTTCAGATGTTTTAACAACCAAAGGTTCTAATAACTCCAAATAACCATCAGCATTCAATGTACTGTTAATTAAGGATTACCATCTTGTTAATCTCTTTATCAGTTATACATCCCCAAATCATTATACTTTTACAAAATCTTGCTTATGAATTTAAACAGTCAGGATGAAATTTTTCATCTGATCTTCTGTATATTGATGTACTGCCCATCACCATAGCTAATATATATTTTTGATTCATCTGTGAACATAACTCATTTCTAGTCATTAACAGTCTGGTTTTTATGACTTGAATCATTTCAAAAACACTTTTTTTTTTTTGCTATACATACAAGGCTTTGTTTTAGCTTTTCTTGAGTGGTAATCTTTTTCTGCTAGCCTCTTCCCTACTGTAGTGCCCAATACATTAATACCTGTTTCACTTCATTCTAAATTAATGCTACTTGATGACAAAAATTGTTTTCTTTAACAATTATAAGTTAATCATCTCTTTTGGATTTAGATCTTAGTCTTCTAACTCATTGCTGATTTTTTTTAGAGTTTCAAATATTTTAAACTTTGAAATTCTTTTTAGACTGTTCTTTGAGAACATGAAATCATTTGTGATTTTCCTTTTTGATATATAGAAATTATTAATTGTTTCCTATCTTCACTTAATTTTACTATTAGGTATCATTATTACAACTTATTTACTATAATGACACTATTACAAACTACTTCTCTATAATGATGTCATTATATTTAATAATTTATTTACAAGGATATTATTCATTTTAGCATTTTAAAATCCAATATTTTTTTAATGTAATAATTATCAAAATATTCCATACTTTTATTTAACTTTTACTTTGTTTACATAAAGGTATTTGATAAATTACAAAGTTACAGAATTTTAAATTTTTTAACTTTGTAATTTATCAAATATCTCTCTGAGGTTAATGTGTAAATACCAGGTAAATACTTTAATATGTCTATTATATAGTAAAATGTTGCTAAGTTGGACATCTGTGGTGAAGATCCAAAGTGTCCAGGTTATAGAGGTGAGCATTTTTGCAGACGTGTACACCCTATACACATATCATATTTATTACACCTCTGTTTTGCTAAATATAATGAAAAAAGCATCATGTTTTAATGTTATCACAAAATTTAATGACTGAAATGCTTGATAATACTGTATATGTTACATAGTTCAATAAAGAATCATTAAACCAGCTTGTAACATATGAGTTGTAATGTCTTGTCTACACATACATAATATTAGTTATGCCAATATGACTTTCCATAGAAACATACTGATATGCTGCAAATGAGTACATTGTTTTTCCAGATGTTAATTTGATCTTAAATAATCTGCTTTAATTCTGCAATCAGTAGAGAAATATTAATACTTGAATATATTCGTTTTTACAGTAAACACATGTTTATTTTTGCTAAAGAATTATTTTACATGGAATTGTTGGAGATGTGTCAGTCTGGATGTTTTCAGTTCCTTTTCAGTTTCTCCCTTAATCTTAAATACCATCATAACATCAGATTGACAATGCAAATTAGAGCCATGGGAAGGCAGAGGCAGAGAGAGAGGAACATGCACAGAGAGGCAAGATGATGGGACATCAAGATTCCAAAATTGTTACATGGGTGAATTAATAAATTCAGTGAAAACTGTCACATATGAGTATGAAAGATTATATTAATAAAAAGTTTTTTTCTTTTTCTATGATTTTTAAATTTGTAACAGACTAATGAAAGGCTTATTCAAAAAGTGCCATATTTAAGTTTGCTCGGTGCCAAATGCTCTAGCCAAGATCCTAGTGCAAATGCATAATGTTCAAGTTCTGTAATATGTCTGAGGGCAGACTGATGGTTTGTTGCTTTCTGTTTCACTGCTACTGGTTCTACATCATCTGATGCATCACTTCCAATGTTTTTGAAATCATTTTGAAAATACTTTCTGATTCATTCCTGAAACACTGGAATAGCTTCTAGATGATATTCCCATTGAGTGCATACATCTGCAAGATATTTAAATAACTAAAGTGTCAAGCTGATGATCAGTTTATGAATATTCAATATAGCATCTTTGTAGGATTTTTGTTCAAGATGATAAACTGATATATTGGATTTCCAGCCTTTAAAGGTTAAGTGATCTTGTACTCTAATGGCCTGCAAATCTTTTGTGATGCAGCTTTCTGTGTATAAACAACTACACTGGTGCCATGATCTCAATCTTAATCTTGAACCTCTTTTCTTCCAAATTCTTTAAATATCTCTTTTCCTCCTGTACAATAACAATCTCTGTAATGCTATCTATTGCTCAAGCAAGCACGCTTTAATCTGTCACTAGTTGTCATTTATTACCAACTTGGAGGAACCATCAAGAAGTGTTTAAGATAAAGAGGTTTTTTTTTTAACTCTTTCCGCCCTGTGGGCATTAAGAGGGACTCTTTTAGCAAGCCCATTATGGGTTCGGCCAGGCCCACAATGGGGCTGCCAGGTGGTGAGGGGCGGGACTTGACATTCGAACGGACCACCCCCAAAAAATTCCTGGGGATTCTTTGATCCGTCCGGATTCAATCCCGGGTCCCCCAGAGCGGTAGGCTGCCACCTTCACCGCTCGGCCATCCAGCCTAAGATAAAGAGGTGCAAAGATATGATAGAGATGGTAAGAGATGTCCAAGGTATGGGATAGTGAGGTGTCCAGGTTAGGAAAGTAGGAATACATTATAAAGCTTATACTTTTGTCCAGTGCAAGGAAAAAGTATCCTAGTAGGGTGTCCAGCTTAGAGAGATGTCTGTGAGATAGCAGAAATTCCTATATTAGAATTAGTCTTTAATACCAACATGATTTGAGAGATGTAACGATTGTTGTTCATAGCTACCTGAGAAAGTCTCCCGTTACATTTTCTCGAAGGCAACCTGACGCTTTCTCATGAACTATTAACCTTTGCATGGCCGAAATTGTCCAGGAACATCGCCAGAGACAGCCAAAAAAGAGTCAGTCACCGTTTTAGTCCTCAGAGAGGAAAGGAGTCATTGCCCATAGGATAACCTTTATCAACAACCTTTTTTTTGTGTGTGTTAGTGCATGATAGAATTTTGACTGGATATTTCACCCCTGGATAAATCCTGAAAAAGCCTATAAGAAGAACTATTATCTTGTTCTTTGATTTGACATGACCTGATCGGAATATCTATTACCAAAGGTATTTATCACCACGTGAATCTTATGTGAACTCTCTCTCTCCGCGACGAAAACTTTGTCCAATTTATTTTTTATTAAATCCTTGTTAATTGTTAAGTGTAGTTGAGTCTCTTCCACATGCTCTCTCTCGATTGACTGACATTACGAATTTGTCTGACCACTTACAGGACCGCTCACGTGATGATGTGATGTAGTAATTGCCGTCTCAGCTTCCGTGTTTATTAGAACACAATGTGTCAATCCTGACAGGGCAGTAAAGAGGTGCCGACCCGAAAGGTCACATGTCCAACTTTCAAGGTTTTACTGTATTTGTACCATGTTAAAAGTTCAATAATATTTTTGTGAGTTTGATTATTTCAGGATCAAAATAATTTTTTCCACAATAATAACAAAATATTCCATACTTTGTTTATGGGTTGTATATAAATGTCAAAGCTCTTAAAGATCAAAAAATCATTGTTTTTTAATATATACAGTGGTGCCTCGTATAACGTACACCTCGAATAACGGACTTGCTGTTTGACTCGAACAACGGACTTTCCGTTCGGCAGTTACGTGAGGCGAACAATGGACTTTCTTCGAACAAGTGCGAATGATGTTTCCACTCTTTTGCCGTTGCCAATGACAATCTGCTATTTTTAGGATATATTAGTATTATTAGAATGTATTATTAGTATATCTGAAGTAGAAATGTAATGTAATATATGTTGATGATTTAAATAAACATTAAATGTAATGTAATATATGTTGACGATTCAAATAAACGAAATGTAATTGTGTAGATGCCGAGGTGGCGGGACGAAAAGAGGTTGTAAAAAACAAACGGAGCGAGAGTAGCTCGTAGAAGTGTTTAGTGATCTTAATTAATAAAGAATTATTCGTATCATATAATCTGGCAAGTTAAGTCATTTATAATGCATCATGGCTTCTAAAAAAACAGAAAGGTGATTTCAATTGAAACAAAGCAAGAAATCATCAGGAGTGAAAGTTGACAAAAACTTTCTTGTCGAATGGGGAGAGGTTCAGGAGTTTACCAACACTCATTATCCAAACAGAGCTGAGGCCAACAGGATCAATGATCTCTACGATGACACCTTTGTCCGTCATTTCCGACAGGTGTTAAAGAAGAAAGAGAAACAGACCACCTTGGTCATGTTTTTCAAGAAGCCAGCGGGCAAAAAACAAAGGATGGAACAAGAGAAGTTGACCCTGCAAGTTCCGGTAGCCTCTCCTGAATCTGACTCCGATTAAAAAACAATAAAAAAAGACCCGCTGCAATGTGTAAAAAGTCTGTATCTGTATGAATGTGTGAAGAAAGTGTTCCTCCACCTCCTCCTCACAACATCTGACTACCCAGCATAATTGGTGACTGCTCCATTTTCATTTTTTTATGGTACAGTACGGTTGTTTTATGCTGCGGAACGAATTATATGTTTTTACGTGCATTTCTATGGGAAAATGCGTTTCGTATAACGGACTATTCACTTAACGGACGTGCATCTGGAACGGATTAAGTACGTTATACGAGGCACCACTGTATTAGTAAATAAAACTATTATATATAGTAGTTTTTATACAGGTTTTGTGTTTTGTAAATGAATTATTATTTTTTAACTGAGCTATGGTATTTTTATTTTAAGAAATAGGATATTACTAAATATTATATGTAAAATTTTTCTTTTCATTTATTATTATTTAATATTTATTAGATAAAAAGGTATCAACATGCTACTTATGCTCAGACATTATTAAATATACCAGAAACAACAGTGTCCAAACTTGACAATGGATTACGAATAGCTACTGAAGATTCTGGTACATCCACATGCACAGTTGGTTTATGGATTGATGCTGGAAGTCGTTATGAGACTGAAAAAAATAATGGAGTTGCACATTTTTTGGAACATATGGCTTTTAAGGTAATTTAATAAAAATTATATATTATATATATAGTGCGTCAATTTATAATTTAGACATTTCTCTTTTAAAGGGTACAGCTAAACGATCACAAGTTGATCTTGAGTTAGAAGTAGAAAATATGGGTGCTCATCTTAATGCATATACTTCTCGTGAACAAACAGTATATTTTGCAAAGTGTCTTTCAAAAGATTTAGAAAAAGGTATGATTATTTTAAATTTTGGATTTAAAATTTATAAGAAAAGTTATATCGAAATATTTTCTCAAATTTTTTCATTTAGTTAATTCATCTAATTTATTTTTAAAAAAGACTAGTATAGAAAAATTTTATAAAGTGCATTTAACTACTTATTAATCACTAATCACTTTATGACTGCTGAGAAACATTTATTTAAAGATGCTCAAACTTTTTCAGCTTAATTCATATTTAACATTTTGAAATAAAATAATATTTTGTGATAACTTAATTTTTAAATGAGATTTTAACATTGTAGTTTACAAAATTAAAAAAAAAAAAAAAAATGCTATTTCTCTAAATTGATAATTCAGTTGTTGCTAAAATTTTTATTTTAAAAAATTCATAATTGCATATTTCAGTTTTTATTAAATAAAAAAAATTTTTTTAGATTTAAAAATAATAATAATGTTTTTTTTCTTAACAAAAACAAATAATTATTATAAAAATATTTACATAATATATTGAACTATAGAAAGTTCAGTTAGCAGATATTTGTGATATATGAATGATAACTACTAGTTATTTTCAGATCTACTTTCAGAATGCTTACAAGTAACTAGTAGTTATTTGTTAGCATTCAAAGTAAGAAAATAAATATTTTTTTCAAAACTTATTACTCTCAAAATCAACACAACACAAGGAAGAATAAGAAACAATTTTGACTTCCATTTATTGTTGCCTACATTCTGTGATCAATGACTGTATTGAAAAAGATATTTAATCTAACTTATTTTTAATAACCAATACAAATAAATACCTATTACTTTAAAGATTAGAGATGACTTCAGCACAACTTTCTTTCAACACAATAAAAATATAGGACTTTTTGTATAACCATTTTAGATTGATCCTGCATACAAGGTAATGACTAAATAGTGAAGGAATATTTATGCTTTATAAATTTCCAATTTAACATCTGAAAATTTATGAGAATAAAAACTCAATAGATGAAACAAATAAATAAATAATAATAAAACAAACAAATTCAAGTTCAGCAAAGAGCATTATCTGAGCTGTATCTGAGGCATTTGTTTTAGTCACAGAATATAGATTGGGATATCAGACTAATACTTCACTGTTTGATTCTATAACATTTTGATTTATGTTCCATTTTCAACAATTCTAACTGAAATGGACCTAAAAAGGCCAAAAATGTTTTTGCATATAATAAATATTTGACTAATTTAAGAAGCAGTGTAGATTTTTAAACTTAGGATTATTATACTAAAATTTAAAACTTGTTTCAAAGCATAATTTAATAATTAAACTTATTTTTAAGATAGGTTGAATAAACTTTTAAATTAATTTTAGTTGATAATTATCTTACTATTACTTATTATTTTTATCATTACATAGTAGTAGTTTTGAATTTTTCTGATAAAAAAATAAATGTTTTAAATAAAACTGTATTTTAAAATCATAACTTTTAAACAAATTTTTGTATAGCTGTTGAAATATTAGCTGATATCATCCAAAACAGTAAATTTGGAGAAGCTGAAATTGAGCGAGAACGTGGTGTTATTTTGAGAGAAATGCAAGAAGTAGAAACAAATTTGCAGGAAGTTGTGTTTGATCATTTGCATTCAGTCGCTTACCAAGGTACACCTTTAGGAAGAACTATTCTTGGCCCAACAGAAAATATCAAGTAAGAAAAATTAATTTGAAATACTAATTAAAAGTGTCAGATTTACATAAAATATTAATTATTGACAATATTGGCTATATAAAATTATAAAGTGATTCAATTTTAACTGTAAGATTTAAATTTAAAAACTCAAGCATAAAAAAATAATGAGCATTTTGAAAATCTATTATATAACTCAAAATAAAATTTATCATGAATTTTTTAAAAATGTATTTTGGATAAAAATATTATAAAATTCAGAACTTCTGTAGCGTTGAGATATTGAATAACAAAATCATGCCAAAAACGAAATAATTAAATGAAATTTGGTATGTATATTTAATGAATTAACAAATTTATTCAAAGTAACCAAAAAGTTATTTATTTCAAGAAATGTTTTTGGTCACATTTTGGTTATTTTTAACTTACAGACTATATGAATAATTTATATTTGTAGGTTATTTAGTTATTTGTAAGTTAAATTGAAGTATTTTTATTGTCCAATTTGAATTAATAATTTTAAATACACATTATTATGAATTTGTTTAAATTATGTATGTTCTATTTCTGAAATGTAATATTTTCAGGAGTATTTCAAGAGATGATTTAGTGGATTATATAAATAATCATTACAAAGGATCAAGAATTGTGTTAGCTGGAGCTGGTGGTATGCTGATTTTTTTTTCTTTATCAGTTCAAAACTTTAATTTGAATATGTAATCTATTAATCATTTTAGAGTAAAAGAAAATTTATTTACACAATTCTTTGTTTTTATCTCTTAAATTTTACTGGGATCAGCATATTTCAAGGACTCAATTCTAAAGTGAACAAAGACCATACAAACTATTGTAGAAATAGTTAGTTTTTAAGAATTATTATTTTATCTTTCAGAATATACTAATGGGGTACTGTATGAACTTAATGCAGGGTATAACACATTATCTATCTAAACATAAAATGCAGAAAAATTACAGATAACATAAATACAATGTAGGTAATAAAAGAAATTTTAACTTTGTTCTGCTGCAATTTGAAAAAAATTGTAGATCTATAAATTCCTACTGTCATCTGTCCATCTATCTTTCTTTAATCTTGAGAGCAGAAGTAGATAGATGAAATACAAGACCAGATATGGAAACCTTAGAGACAGGAGGCATCGATTGACTTTATATGAATTTTTGGAAGTCACATTATTTTAATTCAAAAGTTTCCCCTGAAAGCAGTTAATCCATTAACACCTGTTCTCAAACTGAGGGAGAAAAGAAGGTTTTGAAAAGAAACTGCTTCAAAATTTTAAAAAGTTGATATTTAATTATTAGAAATATTGTCGATTGTTTCTCAAATTCATTATTTTGTCTAATTATCATTTTAAAAATCACAAAACGTTTTAAAATTTAAATATAGTGATTGGTATTACAGTATAATATAATATCTGTCTGTTCCTTATCACTTTCTATAGCTCAACCCCAGTGTTTCTTATTCCTATCTTTGTCTGTTGCTGTTTATACATAATTCCTTATATAAACAATATTAGTTTTATATATGTAAATTAAATAGTTGTAAATAATTTAAAAATTCCGTAAAGGATAATTCAATAATGCTGGTGATACTTGCATTTTGCAAGTAAAGTAATATGAATTTGTAATGTGAAATAATAAATAAATCTTATTTAAACATGTAAAAATTAAAATTAATGCACTTTATACATTTATGTGAGAAAATAAAGAAATGCATGCAAAGTTACCTCTAACAATTAAAAAAAATTTCAGTGAACTGATCTTGTTTTGAATTGATATTATTTATTTATCTTATATCTATTATACAAGTAGCTTAGTTGAATTTTAAAAAGTTTCATATAATACATACGTGTTTTTGTTAAAAATTTTAACTTTTGATTCAATGAGCCAAATAGTCCTTTACGTTTGGCATTAAATCGAAAAATTGTTTTAACCCAATAATTACACATTTAAGGAAATCATCTGGAATTATACATTTGTGCAAATCTTTGTTTATGCACTCTCTTCCAGAATATAATAAATGTAAATTACAACCATGTATTTAATTAACATTTTATTGTTATTAAACATTTGGAATAATTTTATATGTATTATAATGATTAATTGGTTTTAACTTTAATGTCAACAGTCTAGTTTTGTTTAAATCTTAAACATAAATCGATACAAATTTTTGAAGTTAATTGTGAAAACTACATGACTGGATATTTTGGTTTCCTGGATAATTCAGGTATATATATTTGAAATATCTCTAGTATCTGGGTAACAAAAAGGCAGATACCTGTTTACAAAAATTTGTAATGTTCTGGACTATTTAAAATATACATGATGATCATTAAATTTGATATGTCATAAAATCTTAATACATATTAATAAATTTTATTAACAAGCATTTTTATTAATATATTTCAATTTATAACTAGGAATCAAGCATGATGAATTAGTGAAATATGCCGATAAGTATTTGGGATCTCTTTCAAATGAATACAAAAGTGGAATTCCAGAAGCTCTCCCATGTCGATTCACTGGAAGTGATGTGAGTATATGTATAAAAGTATCATATATATTATGTTATATAATCACATGAATTTTTAAAGATGAATCAGTGTTTCAAATATGAAATGTAATGAATTGTTCTAATTCACAGTTACCTTATCTTTATTAAAATGTGTTTTCAAGTGATATTTCATAACAATAAAATTTGAAAAGAAAAAAGTTGAAAATTTAAATTCACTTTTATAAAATCCAGTAATTTGAACATTTTATAAGAAGCTGTATTTTTATTGGATTATAGCAGATCCAAGTGTAGGATTTTTAAAAGACTGGGAAGTTTTTTTTAAAAAAATTGCTTTTTTTAACATAAGTTGTGCATTTTTTTGTATTATTTTAAAAAATTCTTTCCACATGGGAGGAGTTTAACCCCTCCTATTTGGAAAGAATTAAAAAAAAAAAACAAAATTAAAATGTACATGCAGGGTCTTAGATTATGCATAATATTTCAATTAATTCTGTGAGAAACAAGGTGTTCATTTGTCTATTTTACTTTATAATCTTTACAACTGTACTCCTAAATTGAGATTGTTATTCTAAAATCAATCAAGTTCTTTTGTGTTTTTTTCTCAATTAGATACTTATTGCATGACCAATTATTGATTTTAATGACTTTTGCAATTTAATTATATGTTTGTTTTGCAAAGAATATTGTTAACTTGGGAAATATAGTTTAACTATTTAAATAATCTGGAGTGTGAAGAAATTGAGTTCCAGCTTATGAAACACATGTATCTACCATGGCAAACTTTGGCCTGTGTGAGAGAAAAGCACAACATACTTATCAATTGAAAACATCTTTCTTTTGGCAAAAATTCAAAAACATACTGTAAAATCTATCAACCATTAAAGTTTTTGAAAATTGACTCTTAAACCAGTCATTGGATATTATCAACATTAAAGTTTTTTCAAGAGATTCATTTATTCATCAACATTTTTTCAAGAGATTCATTTATCTCTTGAAAGTGAACAACAGTAATTACTCATCTTCAGAAGAATTCAAAATAATAATAATAAACATATATAAACATTAATAAAAGTTAATTTTAAAAAGATACCAGCAGATGAGCCCGGCGTTGCCCGGGCAAAAAACAACAACAAAGATTAAGATTATTAGATTATTTCGTACTTCTAATCCTTCTATTCTAGAAGCCCGGGACACCCCCTAGTGGGCGTTCTAGCAGCAGCGGTGTCATTCCATGGTATAAATAAAAAATTCCTATTACAAATAAAAATAATAATATACTGAATTTCTCATGGCGTACCCTACTAAAATGCAGCCAAAAATGTAAAAAACCACATCAAATAATAATATGTTGAATTTATTGTTAATTTAAATAATAGCTAGGGGCACCCCTAATGGCCATTTTTGGCATACAGTGACAAATAATCCAGTTTTTCAGCTTTATATAGTTAGATAATTTCAGAAATAAATATGAACTATGAACATTTGTTTAAAATTGTATTTTTCTATTTGCTTTTCAAAATGGTATGCTTTTTTACAAATGTTTATATATCAATAAATCATGAACTAGCATTAGTCTGATTAATCATATCATTTTAACAAATATACAGTCGACCCCCCTATAATGTACGTTCCTATAATGACAATTCCTATAACGTAGCGAAAAAATTGTAGAAACTTTCGTATAACGTACCTCCTATAACGTCGTTTCGCGAGAAGATTGATAGAGTCTGGACCAATAGTGGATGAGCAGCCGAAATACTTANATTTCAATTGAAACAAAGCAAGAAATCATCAGAAGGAGTGAAAGTTGACAAAAACTTCCTTGTTGAATGGGGAGAGGTTCAGGAGTTTACCAACACTCATTATCCAAACAGAGCTGAGGCCAACAGGATCAATGATCTCTACAATGACACTCTTGCCCGTCATTTCCAACAGGTGTTGAAGAAGAGAGAGAAACAGACCACCTTGGACATGTTTTTCAAGAAGCAAGCTGCCAAAAAACAAAGAATGGAACAAGAGGAGTTGACTCTGCAAGCTCCGGTAGCCTCTCCTGAATCTGAATCCGATTAAAAAAACAATAAAAAAAAAGACCCGCTGCAATGAGTAAAAAGTCTGTATCTGTATGAATGTGTGAAGAAAGTGTTCCTCCACCTCCTCCTCACAACATCTGACTACCCAGCATAATTGGTGACTGCTCCATTTTCATTTTTTTATGGTACAGTACGGTTGTTTTATGCTGCGGAACGAATTATATGTTTTTACGTGCATTTCTATGGGAAAATGCGTTTCGTATAACGGACTATTCACTTAACGGACGTGCATCTGGAACGGATTAAGTACGTTATACGAGGCACCACTGTATTAGTAAATAAAACTATTATATATAGTAGTTTTTATACAGGTTTTGTGTTTTGTAAATGAATTATTATTTTTTAACTGAGCTATGGTATTTTTATTTTAAGAAATAGGATATTACTAAATATTATATGTAAAATTTTTCTTTTCATTTATTATTATTTAATATTTATTAGATAAAAAGGTATCAACATGCTACTTATGCTCAGACATTATTAAATATACCAGAAACAACAGTGTCCAAACTTGACAATGGATTACGAATAGCTACTGAAGATTCTGGTACATCCACATGCACAGTTGGTTTATGGATTGATGCTGGAAGTCGTTATGAGACTGAAAAAAATAATGGAGTTGCACATTTTTTGGAACATATGGCTTTTAAGGTAATTTAATAAAAATTATATATTATATATATAGTGCGTCAATTTATAATTTAGACATTTCTCTTTTAAAGGGTACAGCTAAACGATCACAAGTTGATCTTGAGTTAGAAGTAGAAAATATGGGTGCTCATCTTAATGCATATACTTCTCGTGAACAAACAGTATATTTTGCAAAGTGTCTTTCAAAAGATTTAGAAAAAGGTATGATTATTTTAAATTTTGGATTTAAAATTTATAAGAAAAGTTATATCGAAATATTTTCTCAAATTTTTTCATTTAGTTAATTCATCTAATTTATTTTTAAAAAAGACTAGTATAGAAAAATTTTATAAAGTGCATTTAACTACTTATTAATCACTAATCACTTTATGACTGCTGAGAAACATTTATTTAAAGATGCTCAAACTTTTTCAGCTTAATTCATATTTAACATTTTGAAATAAAATAATATTTTGTGATAACTTAATTTTTAAATGAGATTTTAACATTGTAGTTTACAAAATTAAAAAAAAAAAAAAAAATGCTATTTCTCTAAATTGATAATTCAGTTGTTGCTAAAATTTTTATTTTAAAAAATTCATAATTGCATATTTCAGTTTTTATTAAATAAAAAAAATTTTTTTAGATTTAAAAATAATAATAATGTTTTTTTTCTTAACAAAAACAAATAATTATTATAAAAATATTTACATAATATATTGAACTATAGAAAGTTCAGTTAGCAGATATTTGTGATATATGAATGATAACTACTAGTTATTTTCAGATCTACTTTCAGAATGCTTACAAGTAACTAGTAGTTATTTGTTAGCATTCAAAGTAAGAAAATAAATATTTTTTTCAAAACTTATTACTCTCAAAATCAACACAACACAAGGAAGAATAAGAAACAATTTTGACTTCCATTTATTGTTGCCTACATTCTGTGATCAATGACTGTATTGAAAAAGATATTTAATCTAACTTATTTTTAATAACCAATACAAATAAATACCTATTACTTTAAAGATTAGAGATGACTTCAGCACAACTTTCTTTCAACACAATAAAAATATAGGACTTTTTGTATAACCATTTTAGATTGATCCTGCATACAAGGTAATGACTAAATAGTGAAGGAATATTTATGCTTTATAAATTTCCAATTTAACATCTGAAAATTTATGAGAATAAAAACTCAATAGATGAAACAAATAAATAAATAATAATAAAACAAACAAATTCAAGTTCAGCAAAGAGCATTATCTGAGCTGTATCTGAGGCATTTGTTTTAGTCACAGAATATAGATTGGGATATCAGACTAATACTTCACTGTTTGATTCTATAACATTTTGATTTATGTTCCATTTTCAACAATTCTAACTGAAATGGACCTAAAAAGGCCAAAAATGTTTTTGCATATAATAAATATTTGACTAATTTAAGAAGCAGTGTAGATTTTTAAACTTAGGATTATTATACTAAAATTTAAAACTTGTTTCAAAGCATAATTTAATAATTAAACTTATTTTTAAGATAGGTTGAATAAACTTTTAAATTAATTTTAGTTGATAATTATCTTACTATTACTTATTATTTTTATCATTACATAGTAGTAGTTTTGAATTTTTCTGATAAAAAAATAAATGTTTTAAATAAAACTGTATTTTAAAATCATAACTTTTAAACAAATTTTTGTATAGCTGTTGAAATATTAGCTGATATCATCCAAAACAGTAAATTTGGAGAAGCTGAAATTGAGCGAGAACGTGGTGTTATTTTGAGAGAAATGCAAGAAGTAGAAACAAATTTGCAGGAAGTTGTGTTTGATCATTTGCATTCAGTCGCTTACCAAGGTACACCTTTAGGAAGAACTATTCTTGGCCCAACAGAAAATATCAAGTAAGAAAAATTAATTTGAAATACTAATTAAAAGTGTCAGATTTACATAAAATATTAATTATTGACAATATTGGCTATATAAAATTATAAAGTGATTCAATTTTAACTGTAAGATTTAAATTTAAAAACTCAAGCATAAAAAAATAATGAGCATTTTGAAAATCTATTATATAACTCAAAATAAAATTTATCATGAATTTTTTAAAAATGTATTTTGGATAAAAATATTATAAAATTCAGAACTTCTGTAGCGTTGAGATATTGAATAACAAAATCATGCCAAAAACGAAATAATTAAATGAAATTTGGTATGTATATTTAATGAATTAACAAATTTATTCAAAGTAACCAAAAAGTTATTTATTTCAAGAAATGTTTTTGGTCACATTTTGGTTATTTTTAACTTACAGACTATATGAATAATTTATATTTGTAGGTTATTTAGTTATTTGTAAGTTAAATTGAAGTATTTTTATTGTCCAATTTGAATTAATAATTTTAAATACACATTATTATGAATTTGTTTAAATTATGTATGTTCTATTTCTGAAATGTAATATTTTCAGGAGTATTTCAAGAGATGATTTAGTGGATTATATAAATAATCATTACAAAGGATCAAGAATTGTGTTAGCTGGAGCTGGTGGTATGCTGATTTTTTTTTCTTTATCAGTTCAAAACTTTAATTTGAATATGTAATCTATTAATCATTTTAGAGTAAAAGAAAATTTATTTACACAATTCTTTGTTTTTATCTCTTAAATTTTACTGGGATCAGCATATTTCAAGGACTCAATTCTAAAGTGAACAAAGACCATACAAACTATTGTAGAAATAGTTAGTTTTTAAGAATTATTATTTTATCTTTCAGAATATACTAATGGGGTACTGTATGAACTTAATGCAGGGTATAACACATTATCTATCTAAACATAAAATGCAGAAAAATTACAGATAACATAAATACAATGTAGGTAATAAAAGAAATTTTAACTTTGTTCTGCTGCAATTTGAAAAAAATTGTAGATCTATAAATTCCTACTGTCATCTGTCCATCTATCTTTCTTTAATCTTGAGAGCAGAAGTAGATAGATGAAATACAAGACCAGATATGGAAACCTTAGAGACAGGAGGCATCGATTGACTTTATATGAATTTTTGGAAGTCACATTATTTTAATTCAAAAGTTTCCCCTGAAAGCAGTTAATCCATTAACACCTGTTCTCAAACTGAGGGAGAAAAGAAGGTTTTGAAAAGAAACTGCTTCAAAATTTTAAAAAGTTGATATTTAATTATTAGAAATATTGTCGATTGTTTCTCAAATTCATTATTTTGTCTAATTATCATTTTAAAAATCACAAAACGTTTTAAAATTTAAATATAGTGATTGGTATTACAGTATAATATAATATCTGTCTGTTCCTTATCACTTTCTATAGCTCAACCCCAGTGTTTCTTATTCCTATCTTTGTCTGTTGCTGTTTATACATAATTCCTTATATAAACAATATTAGTTTTATATATGTAAATTAAATAGTTGTAAATAATTTAAAAATTCCGTAAAGGATAATTCAATAATGCTGGTGATACTTGCATTTTGCAAGTAAAGTAATATGAATTTGTAATGTGAAATAATAAATAAATCTTATTTAAACATGTAAAAATTAAAATTAATGCACTTTATACATTTATGTGAGAAAATAAAGAAATGCATGCAAAGTTACCTCTAACAATTAAAAAAAATTTCAGTGAACTGATCTTGTTTTGAATTGATATTATTTATTTATCTTATATCTATTATACAAGTAGCTTAGTTGAATTTTAAAAAGTTTCATATAATACATACGTGTTTTTGTTAAAAATTTTAACTTTTGATTCAATGAGCCAAATAGTCCTTTACGTTTGGCATTAAATCGAAAAATTGTTTTAACCCAATAATTACACATTTAAGGAAATCATCTGGAATTATACATTTGTGCAAATCTTTGTTTATGCACTCTCTTCCAGAATATAATAAATGTAAATTACAACCATGTATTTAATTAACATTTTATTGTTATTAAACATTTGGAATAATTTTATATGTATTATAATGATTAATTGGTTTTAACTTTAATGTCAACAGTCTAGTTTTGTTTAAATCTTAAACATAAATCGATACAAATTTTTGAAGTTAATTGTGAAAACTACATGACTGGATATTTTGGTTTCCTGGATAATTCAGGTATATATATTTGAAATATCTCTAGTATCTGGGTAACAAAAAGGCAGATACCTGTTTACAAAAATTTGTAATGTTCTGGACTATTTAAAATATACATGATGATCATTAAATTTGATATGTCATAAAATCTTAATACATATTAATAAATTTTATTAACAAGCATTTTTATTAATATATTTCAATTTATAACTAGGAATCAAGCATGATGAATTAGTGAAATATGCCGATAAGTATTTGGGATCTCTTTCAAATGAATACAAAAGTGGAATTCCAGAAGCTCTCCCATGTCGATTCACTGGAAGTGATGTGAGTATATGTATAAAAGTATCATATATATTATGTTATATAATCACATGAATTTTTAAAGATGAATCAGTGTTTCAAATATGAAATGTAATGAATTGTTCTAATTCACAGTTACCTTATCTTTATTAAAATGTGTTTTCAAGTGATATTTCATAACAATAAAATTTGAAAAGAAAAAAGTTGAAAATTTAAATTCACTTTTATAAAATCCAGTAATTTGAACATTTTATAAGAAGCTGTATTTTTATTGGATTATAGCAGATCCAAGTGTAGGATTTTTAAAAGACTGGGAAGTTTTTTTTAAAAAAATTGCTTTTTTTAACATAAGTTGTGCATTTTTTTGTATTATTTTAAAAAATTCTTTCCACATGGGAGGAGTTTAACCCCTCCTATTTGGAAAGAATTAAAAAAAAAAAACAAAATTAAAATGTACATGCAGGGTCTTAGATTATGCATAATATTTCAATTAATTCTGTGAGAAACAAGGTGTTCATTTGTCTATTTTACTTTATAATCTTTACAACTGTACTCCTAAATTGAGATTGTTATTCTAAAATCAATCAAGTTCTTTTGTGTTTTTTTCTCAATTAGATACTTATTGCATGACCAATTATTGATTTTAATGACTTTTGCAATTTAATTATATGTTTGTTTTGCAAAGAATATTGTTAACTTGGGAAATATAGTTTAACTATTTAAATAATCTGGAGTGTGAAGAAATTGAGTTCCAGCTTATGAAACACATGTATCTACCATGGCAAACTTTGGCCTGTGTGAGAGAAAAGCACAACATACTTATCAATTGAAAACATCTTTCTTTTGGCAAAAATTCAAAAACATACTGTAAAATCTATCAACCATTAAAGTTTTTGAAAATTGACTCTTAAACCAGTCATTGGATATTATCAACATTAAAGTTTTTTCAAGAGATTCATTTATTCATCAACATTTTTTCAAGAGATTCATTTATCTCTTGAAAGTGAACAACAGTAATTACTCATCTTCAGAAGAATTCAAAATAATAATAATAAACATATATAAACATTAATAAAAGTTAATTTTAAAAAGATACCAGCAGATGAGCCCGGCGTTGCCCGGGCAAAAAACAACAACAAAGATTAAGATTATTAGATTATTTCGTACTTCTAATCCTTCTATTCTAGAAGCCCGGGACACCCCCTAGTGGGCGTTCTAGCAGCAGCGGTGTCATTCCATGGTATAAATAAAAAATTCCTATTACAAATAAAAATAATAATATACTGAATTTCTCATGGCGTACCCTACTAAAATGCAGCCAAAAATGTAAAAAACCACATCAAATAATAATATGTTGAATTTATTGTTAATTTAAATAATAGCTAGGGGCACCCCTAATGGCCATTTTTGGCATACAGTGACAAATAATCCAGTTTTTCAGCTTTATATAGTTAGATAATTTCAGAAATAAATATGAACTATGAACATTTGTTTAAAATTGTATTTTTCTATTTGCTTTTCAAAATGGTATGCTTTTTTACAAATGTTTATATATCAATAAATCATGAACTAGCATTAGTCTGATTAATCATATCATTTTAACAAATATACAGTCGACCCCCCTATAATGTACGTTCCTATAATGACAATTCCTATAACGTAGCGAAAAAATTGTAGAAACTTTCGTATAACGTACCTCCTATAACGTCGTTTCGCGAGAAGATTGATAGAGTCTGGACCAATAGTGGATGAGCAGCCGAAATACTTATTTCAGACCCTGCGCCACGCTACGGAGCGGCTAAATTGAGTTTGCTATCGTCTGTTTAGTATTATATATAAATTAGGTATTTACATATAATTATATATTAAATATATATAAATTTGGTACTGTATATATAATTATATATTAACTTAATTTATTGTAACTTTATTATAATTATATATATGCTTTCTGCCGCCTGGCAACACGCTACGGAGATTTTAGTCTAGTAAGTTGAGTTTATTATCGTCTGCACAGTATGTAAATTAGGTACCGTAAGTCTAATACAGCACTAATTTTATACATTTCTTGTGAAAGAAACACTTCTTATTTAACGGCCATAAAAATTATTTATATTAATGATATCTACAAAGGTCAAGTTATCTTTCTGCGATAAATTATTTATCAGATATCGCGGCCGCCGTTTCGTGTGCTGTTCCGCGACGAAGACAAGCTTTGAACAACGGGCGTAGTCGAACGGTACACACTCGGTAAGTAATCCTATAATTTTTTGTTTATAGCATAGTTTATACGGATTACTCCCAAAAAATTATACGTGTTTTGGAAATGTTGAGTCGAATTAGTCTAGAATCGGTTAATTTTATAGAAGAAAACCTTTCGAACAGCCTTAGTCCGTAAAGTTCCCACCTATCGGGCTGCGATTGGCTCATGTATTTAATCGTTCCTACAACGTAATTTTCGGTTAGCGTGGAACGTATCTAAGCGTTATAGGGAGGGTCTACTGTACTTATCTGATCAAATTGATGTTCACTCCTTCAGTTTATTAATTAATAACTCCAACTGTGGATCTAAATCTTAAGTTTACTGTTTAATATGAATTAAATTCTTTCCTCAATTATACATTGTTTGTTATTTGGAGCAATTCAGCAAGATAGATAGGGTAACTGAATTCAGTTTGTTTATTCATTTGACATTATTACAATAATTCAGTTCATGTATTTTCTAATCTGGATCTCTGAAGATCTGTTAAATTTGATATTAAATTTTGTCTCTCACATTGTAAATTTTAATGTTAATTCAAAATAACAACAATTTTAGAATAATAATACTTTTTTTGTAAGATTATTAATATTTGATTAAGCTTTGTTAATGTTATGTGTTAAATGAAAATAAAACTTTATATACAGAATAAAACATTTATTAAATTTAGTACAAAGTATATTATGTGATAATTGTAATCACATTAAATTAATTTATATTTAAAATAATAACTTTATGAAAATTTTAGGTTCGAGTTAGAGATGATGCTATGCCATTAGCTCATATTGCTATTGCTGTGGAAGGATGTGGATGGACTAATCCTGATAATATTCCCCTTATGGTTGCAAATACAGTGAGTTGGATAATTTTTATATCTACTGTAATGACAATAATTATTTCAATATGTTAAATTTCTAATATAAAAAATTAATAAATAAGATTCATATACATTCTAAAAATATTAATATTTATCTGATAAAAAAGGTTATAATTGTGAAATAATTCATTAAATTAAACTCTAAAATGAAAGTGAATAGTTGTGAAATAAATTTTAATAAGTGTTAATTGCTATGAAAATTTTTGTATTTAGATATATGAAATAATAATATTTAAATCTTAGTCTGTCTTTGTTATTTTTTAATTTCAGATAGGATTGGATATTAATGTATACAACTTCAAAGATATCAAAGCCATTCTTTTCTTGACTGAATCTTTGCTTTAACACTTTTCAAAAATTAATACAGTAGACTCAAAAATTTTATCAAAATTTATTATTAAAAATTTAAAAACAGTTAAGTTTTTTTTATGTTTGAAATCAGTTATTACCAGATATTTCAGTTCTCATCATAACAATATCTCCAACATTTTTGTAGTTTAGCTACTGTTTTTGAGGATACCAAAGAATTTGCTTGTTACATAATGAAATAATGTGAAAAAATCATCTGTCACACTCAATAATGTATAATATACAAAATATACATGTTTAAAATAATACACATTATTTTTGTCTAAATATATTAATATATCAAAAGTTACAATTGCAGCAAGCATACCATAAGCATATGCTTGTTCTGTCATATCAGGCAAAATAATATCTATCTTAAAATTTGCTTTTAACAGAAGTTGATTCTCTCACAAGAACAAATTCTTCATTGTCAAAACAATTTCTGATTGTCTCTGAATTGGCACACTAATATATTTTTATGCAGTTCTTAACAAAGTCAGAACATTAAATAGTTTGTAACTTATATTTATAACTTGCACCTGCATTAACATGTTCAAATTTATTATATAGAAATTATTGGTACATAAATTACTTTTTACAAATTCTCATTCTTTTCAAAAAATTGCAAATAAAGTCTAAAGTAAGTTAACTGTAGATCTTATTATTTTTCAATTTAAAAACTTCCAGTTATTGTTAGTCAGATAGATTGCAAAAGCCAAAACAAAGTACAAGTCATTACAGTAAATTTTTGTAAAAATAGTTTAATTATTAGATAACATATAACACTTTGTACAGAATGATTAGCGAAATGAAATATAAATCTTACTTTAACAATCTTTCTTAAAAGGATGTAGTTATCTTTGCTTCTATAATTTTTTGTCTTTTACTTATCAGGAAATCATCAACCTTCTGCAAATACATAAATAAATCCATTTCAATGTTGTCTTTACTTTTTAGGTATTGTTGTAGCATTGCAGTGGCCATGGTTACTTTAGCATTTGTCAAGGGTGAAGGAATTGCAGTTTCTTTTTCATCTTCTGAATCATCCTTGTGTGTTCTATCTTTTTGATATCCATCACAATATCGTTGTCAGACATGGCTTTGCAGATAAGCATATTTTTGTCAATAAGAAGATACCAGACACATCTTACATACTTTTTCAGCATTAAAATGTTTGTTTTGATTAAATTTTGATGCTGGAAAAGTGTTTAAGGTGTGTCTAGTGTCTTCTTATCCTAGAAAAGTTTCAGCTTAGATGATTTTTATCAATATTTAAAAATTCTCTATACTTGTTGCTATATAAAAATTTCTGTATTATATCTTAGTTTTTTCATCAACTTGTTTTCAACAATATCTGGCATGTTTGGGTGCAAAAAAATCCATGCTTCTTGAAGCAATTAGTAATTATTGTTTGAATTGATATGCTTCTTGTCCCACTATTCTTAATTTATTATCTGAGCACTATAAATGGCTCTTACTATGACTTATCACACACTATTGAGAAATCACTTGGAGACTGATAAACATTAGTCATTTGTAACCACAGTTACAAATAAATAACTAATGTTTATGGAGTTATGTAAAAAATCTACTGACTCCAACTTTGTTTCTGACCAGGGACAGACTTGTTAACAAAATAGGGCCAGGAATTCTGTCATCATGTGACCTCAGAATAAAAGCTTCAATAAATGGAGTTCTAATAAAGATGATATAGAAGCTCACTTTTTTCAATCATTTCCGAGGCCAATGTAAATTTTTTCCCTGGGCCAGCACCATCTATTGACACCACTGCTTATGGGCAAAGTAGTGATACTGCAGAATTTGAATGACTTAAGAGAAAAAACATCTCAAGTGAGAATGTCTTAACTGGGTTTTACTGTACTAGTATAAAATGACAAAAAGCTTAATTTTGAGAATAGAGACAAGTTTTATAAAAAATTGTGAATGCTAATAACAAGTAAAATATTCATTAAGGCTGATCACACTGGAGATATGACACATGACTACCTTCTATGTCGCCACCCTATCAACCTTTAATTAAGAACCAAAATTTAATAGCATTAATGCCCCTTTATACATAAACTATCATGCCAAATTTCATTTCTTAAACTCTACTCATTCTGAGATATTGTTTAATATCTCAGAACAGAGAATAAAGAAATTAAACAAATTAGATGCCAAATGCAGACACACTGGAATTTTTTCCCTTTATTTGACACTTTTTGGGTTGAGGAAGTCTCCAAATGTGTAGATTTGCAAAAAACTCAGAGGACTAAATTTGACACAATTTCAATACTTTTCCTTTTTATATACATAACAAGTTGGGAAAGTTAAAAAGGAATTGAATCGGCAGATTTTTGACCACTACAACTAAAACACCAAAACTTTACAACTCTGACTCCACAGCCTTGGTGATAAGTCCTAGCAAGATCCATTATAGTGCTCAGATAATTATCATTGTTTGGTTAACATCATTGTTACATGCATTGGAAAGCATCCCAATTGCTTGCAGGATATCATTGTGACTACAGATACTTTCTCTACATTGTCAATGGCCTTCTAGACCAGTCTTTTTCTATAAAAATGTTGGAGACATTTAATAGTTTGTTGATCTGCTAGCAGAGGTTTTGAGCAATTGTCTATGAACAATAAACTTTCTGCATCTTGAAATAAAACATTGTGTCTAAATTCTGAATGTACTCTTCAAACAAATTCAGCATTATCCGTGCCGTTCCGTTTGCCTTGTATTGAACAGGATGACATTTCACATTTTTTTTGAAACAACATGGATTTTTATACTTTCCTATTACTAACAAAGGTAACTTTTCTGTCCCAGAAGCATTAATTCTGACTACCATAGTTAAAACTTTCTAGCAGCAGCGGTGTCATTCTGTGGTATAAATAAAAAAATTCCTATTACAAATAAAAATAATAATATACAGAATTTCTCATGGCATACCCTACTAAAATGAAGCCAAAAATACAAAAAAACTGCATCAAATAATAATATACTGATTTTATTGTTAATTTAAATAATAGCTAGGGCACCTCTAGTAGCCATTTTTGGCATACATGACAGAAAGAAAGAAAGAATCCAGTTTTTCAGCTTCATATATATAGATTATACTCTTGTTTGGGAAACACCTAAAAAGCAAGTCCCATTTCATCAATGTTGAAAATATTAGACTTTTTATAGTTTGCAAGAAGTTTGGATAAGGTTTCTTCTTCCCTGATAATTTATAATCACTATATTCTCTCCTGATCTGTAATTTATTATAAATATAAATTCTGTATTAACTCATATAATTTGGTATTTGTAAGTTTTTATATATAAGTAATTTATAAAATTAAAATAAGAAATTTGATCATTTAAATGTTTTTTTTTTTTTACAGTTGATTGGCATGTGGGACAGATCACTTGGAGGTGGTGCTGTAAGTATTTGTTATAAATATAAAATATTAAAGTTCAAACATATAAAGTGTTATGTTTTATATATATATATATACAACATACAGTTAAACTTCTATAAAGCAAATTGCCACCTGAGAAACACCAATAATTCATTATATAGAATATTCATTAAATGGAAAATGTACTGGTAATGAAAAGAAAACTAAGATATATTGTAATAATTTATTCTTCACAAAAATGTCCTTGAACTTGCATACACATTACTTAGTTTTGTTATGAGTATGTTTTACTTTTATGAAAAAATCAAATTGAAGGTATAATAATTTTTATTAAAATTCAGAAAACGTTATGATTTGAAATAATAAGTATTCAATAATAAAATAGTAATTGTTTTTTCCTGTAAATTTTTTAACAAAAATTATTTTGCCTAGCAAACAATTCTAATTTTATTTAAATAATTAAAAAATTCTATCCAGGATATTTTCTTTCTAATGAAAGCAATTTCTTAGTTCATTCCCAATCATTAATTAAATTGATATAAGATTAATATTAAAATACATTAAAAATACTTAAAACTGAAAAAANCCCCCCTAATCAATTAAATTAATATAAAATAAAATATATTAATTAAAAAAATTTAAAAACTTTTGGAGGTCGTTTTTGACATCAGAAACTAGCTTTAAATAACTTTACCGAAGTAAAATTAGTGCGCTACAACTTAGGAACCATGAAATAAAATTGATAAAAAACTCTCATTAAAAAACAATTAAGCGTTAATCGAGCCTTATCAAAGGCTAATTAAAATCGCGATAAAATTTTTTCGCGCGGTTAAAAAATCATTGGAGGTCGTTTTTGACATCAGAAGCTAACTTTAAATAACTTTACCGAATGAAAATCCGTGCGCTACAACTTAGGAACCATGAAATAAAATTGATAAAAAACTCCCATTAAAAAACAATTAAGCCTTAATCGAGCCTTCACATAGGCTCATTAAAATCGCGATAAAAATTTTTTGCGCGAGAAAAAAATTTTGAAAAAATTTGGGGACCTAAAAAAACATTCCAAAAATTCAAAAAAAAAATTTTTTCAAAAATGGCCTTAAGGACCACATTTTTTGTAACGCTATGTAGGCTTGACGTATATATACGTCAATGGAGACTGAGGGGTTAAGTGTATCTAAAAAGTCATTATTTGAAACTATCCTTAGATAAAGATATGTTGATCTTGCTATGAGTACAATACAGATAGATACTGTATTCATAACAGCCATTCAGTGGGAGTAGTTGCAGAAATAAGTCGATGTTTTAACCATTTTTAGTATTTATCAATACAAAAAGTATTTTTTTTTTTTTATTCACCCAGCTGTTTAAAGTGTCATATAGAAATTAAACTTTATGAAATAATGATAGTTTTAAATGTATAAAAGTCATTTTCAATGTTACATAGAAAAATTTGTTAAAAAGAGAAATTTGCAGTATAGAAGTTTATATGGAAGTTTGACTGTATTTTTTAAATTAAAATTATTTATTTTGATTTAAAATATTTTTATTACATAATTTTACATTTTTATGCTATCTACATTACATTGTTTATACATATTCTAATTTTTAGAATGTTTCAAGTAAACTTGCACAAAATACAGCAACTCACAACTTATGTCACAGTTTTCAATCATTTAATACTTGTTATAAGGATACTGGTCTTTGGTATGTTGCTTTTTAATGTTTTAATTCAACTTTTTTCAAATTATTTATAAAATAAAATGTTAAAATACATGGAACATAAGATAATATCAAAAATTTCTTACTTATGTTATCTTTTATGAACTAACTTGTTATCTTTTGCCTTATAGCAAAAGACAACATAAGTTATTTCAAAAAATAATTATGTTGATATTTTGAAGATATCAACATTATTTAAATAGTTTTAAATTTCAGGGGTATTTATTTTGTGTCTGAAGGTTTGACGATTGATGACATGGTTCATAACGTACAGAATGAATGGTAAGTCATATTTCTAAAATTTGCAGCTTATCTATTCTTTTTTTATCTCTCAGCATCATGATTTGTATAATATAGCTGGACTAATTAGTATTTAAAAGATTTTTCTTAATTTTGCTTATTTTATGAAAATACTCGTACATTTTGTTTCTTCTATCCTGTTTTTCCTATTTGTTTTATCAAACTTTGTGTCTGTAAATACCATTTTATTCAAACAATAACTGTAGCTATATTTTAAACTGATTTCATTGAAACTATGTAATTAAATGTGCATTAGTCATTTCTTGATTTATCATTTATTCACATCTGTTGGTCAGAATTTTTAATCCTGAAAAATGTTAATTCCAGACTTGATTAGTTTTAAGGAAGAACAATACAACATAATCAATGTTAGTACACATTGATAGTAGTAAAAGTGGTTGTTTTGGAATGCAGTATAGTGATTATCAAGTTTGAACTCTGCAGTTATGACCTGTTATGGGTCCTATCTGTCAGACAGTGAACTGGAGAAGAAAGGGTAATGGTGCTGGTGATGCATCCAAACTGATACCAGTGCTGAACTTTACCAAACATTTTGTGTGTTTGAGTCAAGAGAGTTTGTTTGCTCATGAATAACATTATTTTTAGTCACATTTCTGAGTTTTAGTTTTAATAGTTATATATGTATAGTTGTAATTTTTGTTTTAGTACTAAAACTATATTTGAGAGACTAGAATCATGTTTTAGTTTTAGTAAATAAACTAAAACTATGTAACACATGACATCACTGAGAGAGATCAAGCAAACATCATTGAAAGTTTAGTTTGTTGTTGTTGAAAACTTATTGTTCAGTTAGAAAAGGAAAAGTGCTACTAAACAAACTAAGATTTAATGACTTTTTTAAAATAGTAATGCGGATTGGATAATGGAAGAAATATTCACTGGTGTGTGTTTTTGGATGTAATGAATACATATAGGGATAAAATACAAATTCTTAAAGCTGGAATTTAACTCAATATGTATCAGGATCAACCTAAACACTTTTTCAGAAATGGAGAAGGTGTATAATGAATGTTTTTGACTGTTAACAAGTCTTCTTCAGGTAATAGAACGTATTAAGATTCTAAAACATATTAGAATTCTTTAAATTATGGGACAAGTACAGAAATTTACAAATTCAAATACTTGATTGATATTGGTTTTGAAGAATAACAGTAAAACACAATCAAATCTAGATAACTGAAAACTCTTAACATGTTAACATAGTATATTAGTTAGACATTTGCTCCTGGTGATCTGATTAGTTGGAATTAATCAGATCAGTTAAAGTAAATGATTTCTAGTTTTTGGTGTATTGGATGTGCTTCTCTTTGTCATAAATCTAATATTTTCTTATTTTCTTCTTTCCCTGTTTCCTTTAGATTTGAGCTAGCTCTTTCTCCTATACAGTAATATAGAATTTAAGAATTTTATTAAAGAGGGAAGATAAAATATAGCTCTAACAATCTGTGACCATTACATCAGCAATGCCCAAGTCATGACTGACACCACCCTGTGACTTTAGGTGCATAAGAATCTTCGAAATAATTATCATGCGAGTGGTTGCATATGAAAGAAGGAATAGGTCTGGGATGGAGAATGGAATCAAGAGACAGCATGTCAGAAATAGCGCACTCCACTACGCATTTAACCAGCAAACAACAAATATTTATTTTTCAAGTGGATAAAAAAATATACAAAGAAAATCGAAATAGAGAGGAGTGTCTTAATGCATGCCAAAAGGAGAGAGAGTTTTTACAGTTGTGTTTGTGGGTTGATAAATACCTGGATCTTTGTTTGACAATTGCTGGATGGCTTGGACATCCTGGAGAGAGGTAAGAGAGTCACTTGCTTAGTTATGATGAATCATGGTGAAGAGTCTTGAATCCCAAAGTTCATAAGAGTAAAATCCACAATAATGGTTTTCCAATTGATTGTTCATTAGTTTAAAGTGGCTAAAGGTTCAGTGGGAAGATCAGTGGTGGAGTTTGGTGGGGATGAGCATACACTTCGAAAACAGGTAAACTCTCTTGACTTTCCTTCCCCTCTATTTTTGTTTGGAGTTATTTCCCCTGCTATTCTGTATTCTGATGACCATATTTGGTAAGGTCATGCAGAGAGCTGGTGGTCAGCCCAATCCCTGATTTATTTATTTATTTTTTTTTTATGACACTTCTTTTGTTGAGTAGTTTTTATCAGAATGTGTCACCCACAAAGGAAGTGCTATCGATAGGAAAATCTTGAAATTTTCCTCCCTTGAATTTGTTAAAATAAAATAATTCTCCTTTTTAATTTTTGAACAAAAATTAAGATCAATGAAATTACAAAAAAGTACTAGCCCAGGTTCTCACAAATCTTAATATATTTTTTTTATAATAATCAGAATTATGCCTATCAATAAAAGGAACAACATGGTATTAACTGATATTAGCTTACTATAAATTTTCATAAATTGTTTGGCAAAATAGATTTACAACCAACTGCCAAGGATTTTTATTATATATAATAAATATATATATATATATATATTTTATTATATATCTATATACGTAAAAAAATCCTACCTGACTCTCCTTTCTCAGTCACACCTGAGAAAGGAGGGAAATGCTTGGCAGTTGGTTCTAAATCTAATTTGCCAAATAATTTATGAAAATTTATAGTAAGCTAATATATAATAAAAATATATGTATGTATATATGTATATTTTATATATATAAGAAAATGGCCAGTTATTTAATCTAACTTTTTATATTTGACATGTTTAATAAATTTGTTTAATATTTAATATTTAAAATTTGTCGTCATTGTAATAAAAGCTATAAAACAGATTTTCTTGTCTTTTAAACATTCATAATTATTTAAACACAAACTAATTAAAATTATAAGATTTTTACTCGGAATGTGTTAAACATGTTTCTTAATTCTTTTAATTTAGGATGAGATTATGTACAAGTGTCACTGATGGAGAAGTTATAAGAGCAAAAAATTTATTGAAAACTAATATGTTTCTTCAGTTGGATGGTTCAACTCCTATATGTGAAGACATTGGAAGGTATAATCAAAGTTTTTTTTTGTAAAATGATTAATTATTACTTGTATGACTTGGTTTTTTTTATAAAATGCTTATTCAAAATATTTTTGGCAACTTTTCCGTATTTAATACATGAAGAAAATCACTATTAGTTTTAATGGGAATATACTAAATTTTTATAGCTGAAACATATTTATTAGTTATTACTTTTGTAATGTATAATAATTTTATTTATTTAATTAATATATTCTTTCATTGTAAATATAAAAATTTTGAAATAACCAATTTGATAATAGAATATGTATATCACATTTTTTGAAAGTTTGATAGTTCATATGATCCATGAGATATGATGTCTTTAATATATCTCAGATCATATAAGTATTGCAACAGCATATTGTTTAATCTTAATTCCAAAGATTGCAATTCTTAGTGAGTTATGAAATTTTTAAATAACAGGCATTACAATTACAGTAAAACTTTGATTTAATGAACAAAATTTCTGGTCCGTATGTCATATGTGAAAATTAGCATCCCGTTAATTTTAAAATGCTTTTTATATGTAATTAAATTAAAAGGGTTTTTTTTTTTTTTTCCAATTCNTTATAGTATATAATAATATATAATATAATATAGATACTATAATAAATCTGCCTTATGATTGACCTCTTTAAATGAATGTAAATATAATAGAAAACTGGAAAAATTATTTTGCTATTTTTATAATCTGTTTTTTAAATGGAATCATTTTTGGTGATGGTAAGTTTTCTATTAATTCTTTGATGAAATAATAATCTAAAACTATTTAAATGTAATTTTATATTACAAAATAAAGTAAAACTTAAAATTGTAAATTGAAATTTTTTTGAAAGTGTGTATTTTAAAATGATGACTTTTTTTATATCAACGAGTTTTTATGAATAATGTAATATTAGTCTTGCAGAATGTATTTAAGAAGTTTTTTATACTAAAGAAAAGCTTTAGAGAAATACACTGATCTTTGTGATTAATTGGAGGGACCAAGTCATCCTCCACAAACATCAAATTCTCAAACTTTGAGTTCCATTTTCAATTTTAAATTCATAATTTGTTTCAAGACTTTATTTATTACTGCTGTTTTTAAAAATTTTTAGAAAAGGTTGAAACCTTTCACAAAAGTTGAAATTTTTGTGCATAAATTTCTGATCATGAATGTTCAAATACCTGAACACTGATGTCCATGAACATCAAGAGTATAGTATACATAGTGGCAAATGTTATAGTTTTAGTTTCTTGAAAATATTTCCAATTTGTTTTCATGCAGTAGTTGATAAGAGCTTATATATTAATAAAACTGAATCATGTTTTTATGAACTGTTTTGAAAAGTGTAGCTAATGTTCTTAATGAAAACAGTAAATTTTTATAATTTTAATTATCTGTTTTTATTTATAGGTTCACTTCATTTACACTTAATATTTTTATCTACCAAAAGTGCAGAAAACATTTCTGTATTTTCATTTAATAGTTAAAACATACATACATACATACATACATACATACATACATACATACATACATACATAAATAAATAAATAAATAATTTTAATTACACAAACATAAAAAGTATCTACATAAGTAAAAGTTTGACTAGTTTGTCAATTTTTTAACACATTCATTCAGAAAATATACTGTGGCTATATAATGGAATTTTAGCATTAATGAACACTCACCTGAATTAGTCTGTTAAATTAAAATTTTACTGTATTTGTAATAAATTATACATTTAATGAATTAATAGCATAAGAAAACTTTTAAAACTTTCAAGTATATGTTTTATGCTATGGTATAGATTAGCACAATTTTATTGGTTGGATATACAGGAATTGATGTTTTTCAAAAAATAGTTAGAGTTCTGCCTTCATGAGAAGACAGTTCAAGATATCCAGATTTTTTTTTCTAATATTAACTCCTAATGTACCATTTATAGCCAAATACAAAACTGTAATTGGCTAACTAATCAAATTTTATGAAAATGGATTAAATATTTAAACTTGACATTCACATGAACCTCTATAAACATATTTTGTACTTATTGATAACTGTGTATTAAGTATTTTTTTTTTTTATTATTATTCATATGCCATTATCCCACTGGTCAGGTAGAAAGAGGGCTTGTTACGAGTGGGGATTGAAGTTAATTCAATTAAAAATAGTCACTGACCTCCTCCTGAATGAGAGAATGGTTCCTGAAAAGTTTCATTGTAGTTTCTCAAACTATGCTGCAATGTATAAAGAACAAACATACTAAGAAACTTTCTTCTTTGTATATTATATATGATAACGCTTACAATTTTTTTTTCTGCAGACAAATGTTATGTTATGGCAGAAGAATCCCAATACCAGAATTGGAAGCAAGAATTGAAGTAAGTTTTTTAAATTTGTTATTGAAAATAATAAAAATTACTGAATCCAATCAATCAAAATTTTATTTTATAAGTTCTAATTTGAAATTGTATCAGGTTTAATTTGGACTTATTTAAAACCTTGTTTTTTATAGTATATAATAGTACTTAATTAATGAATATGAAGTAGAGCTAGTTCCATAAAAACTGAAGCTTTAACATTTTTTTCATCCTAAATAAAATAAATTTTTCAATTTAAATTGTAAATCATTATTGTAACACTGTTATTTACAAATAAGGTATTTATTGATATTTTAAAAAATTAGATTTGTTATTTAAATATTTAATTTTAATTCGAACAGTTTTTCAAGATAGCAAATAGTTTTACCAAATTATCTGCTATTTTTTCATTTTCAGTATCTGTTAAAAATAATTAGAAAAATACTGGTTTTTTGAAATATTTGGAAATTGAAATAGTATATTTCACTTGAACCAGCAACGTTGCAAGAAATAAACTGTTTTTCCAAGTTTTATTACTGTGTCATAAATTTTTATTGAATCTTACAAGTTAGTTTATAAAATATTTTATTGTAATACTACTGCCACGTGTCATATGTATATTTCTATTAAAGTTACATATATAAAACTGTTTGTATAATACCAATAGTCCTTTTTTACTTTAATATTATTGCTTACAAATTTATTCCAGGAATTACTTCATCTGAAATATTTTTTGTAATTTAGTCTCTTTTACATAAAAGTATTAGTGTATAAATTATTCTATTGTTTTGTTTTTCTTTTAACATTTTAGTTTTTGTTGTTTCTTATATGTGCAAATGGTGGTTGTTTTTTTAACATAATATTGTAATATATGAAGGGTCAGCCCCATCAGTTTGTTTTCCAGTTCATGATTGCTTTTAACAGTTGGATAACAAACTTGTAGCTTATGCAATACTATACCCTGAACCTTTTCTAGTTTACATATAGAATATACATAGAACTACACTTATCTGTTATCAGCATTTTATTTTTATGTTTTTCTTCTGAGATATGATTTCTTACATTTCATGCTTATTTTATAAAATTAAGTAAATAAATAGAAATATAATATGATATTATATTATAGTATATAATAATATATAATATAATATAGATACTATAATAAATCTGCCTTATGATTGACCTCTTTAAATGAATGTAAATATAATAGAAAACTGGAAAAATTATTTTGCTATTTTTATAATCTGTTTTTTAAATGGAATCATTTTTGGTGATGGTAAGTTTTCTATTAATTCTTTGATGAAATAATAATCTAAAACTATTTAAATGTAATTTTATATTACAAAATAAAGTAAAACTTAAAATTGTAAATTGAAATTTTTTTGAAAGTGTGTATTTTAAAATGATGACTTTTTTTATATCAACGAGTTTTTATGAATAATGTAATATTAGTCTTGCAGAATGTATTTAAGAAGTTTTTTATACTAAAGAAAAGCTTTAGAGAAATACACTGATCTTTGTGATTAATTGGAGGGACCAAGTCATCCTCCACAAACATCAAATTCTCAAACTTTGAGTTCCATTTTCAATTTTAAATTCATAATTTGTTTCAAGACTTTATTTATTACTGCTGTTTTTAAAAATTTTTAGAAAAGGTTGAAACCTTTCACAAAAGTTGAAATTTTTGTGCATAAATTTCTGATCATGAATGTTCAAATACCTGAACACTGATGTCCATGAACATCAAGAGTATAGTATACATAGTGGCAAATGTTATAGTTTTAGTTTCTTGAAAATATTTCCAATTTGTTTTCATGCAGTAGTTGATAAGAGCTTATATATTAATAAAACTGAATCATGTTTTTATGAACTGTTTTGAAAAGTGTAGCTAATGTTCTTAATGAAAACAGTAAATTTTTATAATTTTAATTATCTGTTTTTATTTATAGGTTCACTTCATTTACACTTAATATTTTTATCTACCAAAAGTGCAGAAAACATTTCTGTATTTTCATGTGTCTAAAATTTTCTTTTCTTTATCTTTTGTACCACATTAACATATATTCAAATTTTTATTAAGTTATTATTTTAAACTCAAAATGCTGCTTATTTTTATCAAATTTGTCTGTTTTATTCTGCTGAAATCACATCTATTTTTATGTGGGTTGTTTGATTAGTTTGGTAAATTTTAATTAGATGATGCCACAATTCGTTTGGTAACATTGCAGCTTGTAACTGTCATTTTTCAAATTAGCTTCAAATTTCAACCATAAGTTATCATTTTTCATTTTATAGACATTTGAAGCAAGTATTATAGCAGTTTCCAAAAAAATGGAAAAAAAATGAGTTCCGTGCAATGATAAAACATTTTCATTTAGAGAAATGGCCAGCTGGACATCCAGTTGTGATAACCACAACAGAAATCATTGAAAAAGTTCATGGTATCTTAGAAAAGACTGCTGTGTAAAAGTGAATTAGTTTGCCGAGACTGTAGGTATCTCAACTGAACAAGTTCACAATATCCTGCATGAAAAGCTGTGTGCATGATGGGTGCCACAGTTGTTTACTGTGGACCAAAAACACATGTAAAACAACATTTCAACTCAGTGTTTGGTGATGTTTAACCACAATCCACAGGACTTTTTGCATTGATTTGTGATTGTGTATAAAACATGGATTCACCACTATATATCTGAGCCTAAACAACAGTCAGAGCAGTGAACAATGTGTGGTGAAAGTACCAAAAAAGGCAGAGACTGTTTTGTTGGCTAGCAAGGTGATTGTCACTGTTTTTTGGGATTTTCAGGGAATTGTCCTGGTTGACTACTTAGAGAAGGGTAAAACAATAACAGGAGCCTATTATGCAACATTATTGGATCATTTGAAAAAAGAGCTGAAATAAAAACGGTTAAGATTGGTGCACAAAAAATGTGCCTTTTTTACTAAGACAATGCACCATCTTGCAAATCAACAGTTGGAATGGCAAAATTGTATGAATTATGCTTTGAATTGATTCTTCATTCCCCTATTCTCCAGACTTGGACTCATCCAATTTCTTCCTGTTTCAAAACTTAAAAATTTGGTTTGGTGGAAAGAAATTCTCATCGAATAAGGATGTCAATGCTTATTTTGCATACCTTGACGAAAGCTACCTTTCCAAAAGGATTTAAAAATTGGAAATTTGCTGGACCAAGTGATTAATTAGCCCTCAATGGATATTATCTTAAAAAATAAAATTGATTTTTTTCCAAACATTTGTTTAATTTGCTTTTTTTTTACCATATTTATCAAGCAACTCTCATGCCTTCTTCTTTAAATTTAAATAATAATAATGTATTTATAATTACATTAAATATTAAGATGTAGTTTTTTATATTTTTTTTCTAAAGAATTATTCTCTTTGCCAATATTCAGGCTTTTTTATTTTAATGTTCCATTGGACACATTTGATTAATTTGATACAGTATGATCATTTTGATTTGTCATTTCTTAATAGGAAAATTGTAGCTATGCCTGCATTCCAGTAGCTTCATTTCTCTCATTCCTGGTGGTGATCATTATTCTTAATATTTAAAAAACGTTCAAGCTGCATAATAATTGCTTCTTTTATCATTTTAAGGCTTTGAATCTGTTCAGCTATATATACTGGCAATTTGTAATTTTGTCTGGGTTTTATTTTAATAAGTACAGTAAATTCAAAAAATAGTATTTAGAACTAAAATCCAGTAAAACTAATTTTATAACTTAATATCATATTGCAAACATTAAAAGCAAAGAACAATGAAAAAAATAGATAACATTGAATGCAAAACAAGTAAAAGAAAGAAAAGTATATGATGGCTGCAATATACTACAGAATAAAAAGCAACTAACAAAATACAAATATAAAAAGAAGTTTGTTCATTCCTTAAAGAAGTATTTTGTACATATGATGGAGATGTGATAAAGCATAATGAATTGTTAAGAAACACACAAAAATCTTTGCGTAGTATGAAAAATACAGCTTAATCATTTTTACACTTGTAGTTTTTTTAATTTTTTTTTATGAAAAAGCATAATAAAGTAAATATGAGTTTTATAAAGATTAATTTATTAACTTGTATTTTGTAATTTGTTTTCTAACAATGATAATGATTTAAAACTAAACAATTCATCAGAAATAATGTTTTTAATGCACTGTAAAAGTTCATGAAATATCTGATTAATAATGAAAAATTGTAGAAATATGATTATTCTGATACATTATGCCATTTTTTTTACGGTATTATATTGCACCTGACAGAATATTAATATTTGCAGTTATTTCATAATTATTGTAATGTATAAGCTAACCAGTATTGGAATGCTATATTCTTGTGTTCATAAAAAAAGGTTTATAGTTATTTTGAAGTTATGGCTAAAAGAAACATTATCAAACAGGTCAGACTGTTCAGTGCCATCTGTCAGTATGCAGGTACAATTGCTGACATGTACATTGATTAGTACTATTTTTGGTACCTCAAAAACATGTTTGGCACCGTTGAATACTTTCTTTCAGATTTAGTTCTTAAATTAATGTGTTTTCTGTCTTTTGTTTGTTTATGTCAGTCAATCAATTTATTATTAATAAGTGAAAGGTTTGTCAATCATTCAAATAGCTTTACTCATATTTATGAACATTGTATACGCTTTCCAAGCAATGCAAGAAATTTGCAGAAAAGGTGAAGATGTTCTATAAAAATTATTTTGGTTGTGAAATGGGAAATTGAGACAAGAATTAGGTTCTTCATTTTTGTTGCAATACATTTTAATGCGTTACAGAGGCATTGTGGAGAGAGAAGATTATTGTTTGCAACGTCGATAGTGTGAGCCAAACTAACCTTTTCCCTGATTGCTATTTCTGTAAGACAAACTCACAGCCAAAAATCCAAAAGAATTTTTTTTTTTAATGATAGACTTGATTTTTAAACAGTTAAATATATTTTGTTTTGAGTTTTATATATTTTTTTAAATTTCAATTTACAAAAATAAAAAAATATTTAGTTTTAATCACTTGCTTGTGAAACACACTAGCAGCCTGAATATTCTCATTCTAATATATAAATCTATGACAGTAATCGAATTGTTCTGTTTGATAATGTACTTTTTTTTTATAATAACTTTAAAATTACTTTTTAAGTTTTAGATGTCTACAATTAGTATAAATATTTCTTAGAAATGTCCAGATAACAAAAAGTGAAATTTTTAAGAAAATAATTCAAGAAACAAAGAAAATTCAAGTTCAAATTTAAAATCACAGAAAGGTGTTTCTATTCACCCCATTTTTATTTATTTTTTATTATAAAAGCAGTTATAAATATAGGACAAACATCATTTTATTTATATTCTAGTAATTTTACAAAACTAAGTTGTTTAATTAAAAACAATAAAGTTTTTTTTAAATCTCCAACATGCAGTTACTAAATGAAATTTGTTATGTTCCACAGTCAGATGTTCTCTGTTGCTTTGCAAAAAATGACTTAAGTTTGGAAAGCAATCTTTCTACTTCAACAGAGACAATTGGAACATTAGCAAACTTGCTCACAATATTTGAATTAAAATCTTCAGCTGTCATGTTATTGAGTTGCAGTTTTCAAATTGCAGACCTATACATTTCCTCTGTCATCCATCTGTTCATTAATCTTAAGAACAGAATCAGATAGATGAAAATCATGATTAGATATGGAAAACTTGGAGCTGGAGGCCCTGATTAGCTATATGCAAAAGAGGACCAGAAGAGACACGATTTCAATTCATCATTTTCATTTAAATTAAAATATGATTAAAACTTGCAGCTCTGCATTGTGAGGGTATACTTTCCAAACAAAATGCTTGAATTCTTTGTTCTCTAGCTTGAAAATTGATGTATCAGCAGCCAGAAAAGCTTTAGTCCTGCTGAAAAGAAATTCAAGATTATTTTTTTTCACCAAAAGTTGTTCTACATTTTATAGTTTTAATGCATTCAATTGCAACTGTTGTTTCTGCTACTGCAACTGGAATTGATTTTTGTTTACCAGTCGTAACATGCTGATGAATATAATATTTTTGTTTATGTAATACTTTTGTCACATACACTTAACAAAAGTTTTTGACTGTCATATTCCCAAATTTTGATACCACCAGAATTTTCAGTATAAGTTTAATTAAAATGGCAATTTTATTTTTACAATTTAAAAAAATATATGTAGAATAAACTAAATTGTTTTCATTTCCATTATATCCAATTATCAGGAATAAAACACTCTTCCTTCACAGAGATGACCTTTTATTAAAGGCTACACCTCTGTAAAATTATGTAAACAGTTGATACAATTTGTAAAATTAGAGTTTTTTTAAATTTTATGAATTTTGTTTGAGAGTTTGATGGAGCAACTATACTACCTGATGAATGCCTCTGAATGGGGCAAAAAATGTTTGTGTGTTTATTGAATCATATGATGGAGTTAAGTACTGAGGTTGGCCGGATGACCAAGTGGGTAAGATGGCAGCCTACCGCTCTGGGGGACCCAGGATCGAATCTGGACAGGTCGAAAAATCCCCAGGAAATTTGAGATTTTATTTGAGGTAGTGTTTTCTTGATTCTAATGCATGCTTTTTGGATTTCTGATCTCAAAAATTGGGATGGAGATTAGAATCAGGTGCAAAGTCAACTTTGCACCTGATTTTAATCTCCATCCCAATTTCCCATCTCCAACCTTATTTGCATCACTTTCTCTTTACTCTGCTCAACAATTAATGTGTATTATATTGGTATAGTCATGTACGTCTCTCTATTTTGGTTTATTTGTTTTTTGAACTGATTTACAACCATAATCTTGTTTTTGTCAATGCAGTTAATGAATTAGATATTATAGTTTAGGTGTCGGCAGGGGCAGGTCTAGGTTTTTCGAGACCTATGACTTATTGAAGTCTAATGGGGCCCCATTTTTTGTTAGATTAAGAGTCTTTAAATTGGGGTTTAAAATTCATTTTTAATAACATCAAAATCAGAGTTTATGTTAAGGTTTGAAAAATTGACAAGACAGCAGTTAATCTTTTTAAGTTTTTTATTAACCATCTATATTATATAACAACCATGTGATCTTTGCACGCAGTGTTGCCAAAAGGCTTAAATACAAAATTTCATAATTATTATTATTTTCTTTTAACAGTTGAAATATATTTATTTATGAAATGGTATTGAATTAAATACCTTATATTTTATATTAAAAAAAACATAAGAAATAAAGAAATATTATTAGCCAAAATAATTCAATTTTTGTGGGTCCTTGACACTTGGGGCCCAGGACTTAAGCCCTATTAGTCCCTATGTAGAGTCTACCCTGGGTGTCGGCAACCTTTCAGCATTGTTATGCTGAACCAAAGTTATAGTGTTATTCTGGGTGTCAACATGATTTAACAAATTTTGTTACATCTATATATATATATATATATAATAGTGGCAAAAAAGTGAGATATAGGGACATACATGTCCATTTATATATATATATATATATAAATGGACATGTATATCCCTATATCTCACTTTTTCGCCAAAACTACACATCTCACGTGAATGGTGTTTGTATGTGGTGGTAGCCCCAAGTTTCCATTCGTGCATACGGGTAGTTGCGTCTCGATAGCTATAAGGGTGCGGGAGATATGAGGCTGAAAGTGGTTGAAAGTGGCTTTCTATTTCGAATGTTTTGTTCGATTTTTTCGAATTTGTTCGAATTAAATTTGAACATAAAATTCGAATTGGTTCGATTATAGAACAATTGAAAACGTTCCAGAAACGTTGAAATTTGTTCGTTTGACTAAACGTAAAAATTCTCTAATTAGTCTGGAAACGGGGGACCTAATTCTTGCATTTTGTGAAAACGGGTAAGATTAGCTATAATGTAATTATCTTAATCTTCACTATCGTTACTTTTTGCTCGGCGAAGCGGGTCCTTGCAGCTAGATTCCAGATTACTTAGAAAAACAGTCTTTTATAAATATATAAAAAACTATACTATTACATACAAATAAAAACCCAGCGAAGCGGGATCTTGCAGCTAGTTATATATATTATCAAGCACATGCAGGACATGTAGATGGCAACATAGAGTGTAAATGCATTTGTTGTAATAAAAATATACAAGCAAGAGATTTATTTTTAATGTATACTATGGCAAACACTGAACTATGGCTTCCATTTAAATGTGTAATTAATAATTGAAACACAAACACAATTTTTGCTACATTTCTATTCAGTCAGAATGCCATTGAAAATTGTCCGGCATTTCACGTCTGGTATGCTTGCCATAGGTTGTCAATTCCTATTATAGTCGATGATAAACTCATCTGTAAATGTCATATTGGTAACATAATAAAAGATTTTGCAATACATACAGGAATATTGTGGAATAACTAAACACATCTCATCAAAACTTCCCTATCACCATTTATTTTACCAATTCTCAAAAGAATATTGATTATTGTCTTATATTCTTGAAGGGTGCAACTGGCCTTGCAACCAGCACCATCTCATTCACACGCAAACAATGTTCCATTATGTATTCGCATTAATATCCCTTAGTGGGGTTCTTGGGAGCACTCCCTCTGGGGGCACAGATGGCAATTAGCTTTCCCTTGCTTTGTTTCAACTGTCGGTATAGGGTAAAGATGCCTATTATGAGATAGGCGCCAAATTTGAGATACCGAGGTTTTGGCCAAACTATTAACGGCAACCATTTGGCGCTACTGTCACCCGAAGCGTCCTGGCAACACCTTAAAACGTATGTCAGTGCGTGCCGGCCAGAGACACTGTTAGAACGTGGTAGTGCGAATTTTCATAGAAGTACGAAACAAATTTTTTGACATTAAATGTTTACGAGGTATTTAACAACGTTATTATTACGCTAAATTCTTTTAATTTACATTCATTGTATCAATTATAAGGTCAATTCCACGATATTAGTGTGGTACTGTTGTTTTCTTTGTCAGCAAAAAAAGTAGGAAGCCATTTTGTAAAATTTGGATGTGTTCTCAATATGAGACACATGGGGGTTCCTAAAATGAGATATCTCATATTATGATACATGTGTATCCTAATATGAGATATCTCATTTCATATGTGAGGCGAAAGTATACGTATTAGTTTAAGTTATTTTTTATATATTTTAGATGGCTCCAATTAAAAGGAAAACCTGGGATCACCATGCCATGATACGAGCCGTGAATGCAGTGCGGAGCAACCACATGGGTTACTTAAAGGCATCAAAACAATTTGGTGTTCCTAAGGGTACCCTAGAGCGCTACGTCAAGAATGATGCTCATGCTGAAGTACTTGTAAAGGTTCGTATGGGAAGACATCCAGTCTTGCCTGACCATTTAGAAGTAGAGCTGGAAAAATATTGCAAAGAAATGGATCAACGATTTTATGGCTTACGTCTGAAGGATATTAAGTACATGGCGTTTCAATTGGCTATCAAAAATAATCTTAAACACCCCTTCAGCTTGTCTAAAGCGTCTGCTGGCAAAAAGTGGCTACGTGGTTATATGAGAAGACATCCTGCTTTATCAGTTAGAACACCTGAAGCAGTTTCTGCTGCAAGAGTGAAAGGGTTCAATCCTGTTGCCGTCAATAATTTCTTTGACTTATATGAGCCAGAAATTGAAAAGATAAAATCCTCTCCACATAGAGTGTACAACGTTGATGAGACCGGAATAACAGTAGTACAACATAAACGGTCCAAAGTCGTCAGCGTGAAAGGCGAGCAACAGGTTGGTGCGTTGACATCATTGGAAAGAGGCAAACTAATGACCGTAGTGACGTGCATGAACGCTTGTGGTAGCTATGTGCCACCATTGATAATTTTTCCAAGGAAAAATATGGGCCAAGAACTAATGGACGATGCACCTGCAGGTTCAATAGGCGATTGTCATCCCTCTGGTTGGATCCAATCACACCAATTCACAAAGTGGTTTCAACATTTTATAAATTTTGTAAAACCAAGTGAAGATGATCCAGTTATTTTGATTTTAGATGGCCACTACACACATACATGCAACATTGATGTAATAAATTTAGCTCGAGAAAATAATGTAGCTATTGTTTGCTTACCGCCACATTGCACGCACAAAATGCAGCCCATGGATGTGACGTTTATGAAACCACTGAAAACTTATTACGCCCAAGAAATTGAAACATGGCTGCGAAATAACCCAGGACGCACAGTGACCAACAAATACGTAGTTAGATTATTTGGCATTGCTTATGAAAAAGCTGCAACTATGAGTAACCCCGTCAATGGTTTTCGGAAAACTGGATTGTTGCCTTGCAATCGCTATATTTTTACAGATGAAGATTTTTCAGTTTTTAATGATGAAGATCAACGTCGAGGTGTACTGAATGACCAGACAGATAGACCTTTCCAGACTCACCACGTTTCACCTGATCATGGAGTGTCAAATGAGAATCAGGAGGATCAGAGAGCCGAACACTGTGTAACCCCTTCAATTGGAAATCCTCTTGATGAGAATCACGCATTGGCATCTAGTGCTGGCTTATATGAAAATCCAATGCCTAGCACATCGTCTCATGTCTCACCTTTTGCACTTAAGCCAATACCCAGGCTGTCTAGAAATGATTCTGCCAAGAAAACCAGGGCTGGATCAGCTGCCATAATTACTACTTCTCCATATAAAAACACACTTATAGAATGTTTAAATAAAAAGAAAGAAAAGGAAAATAAAAAGGATCAGAGGAAAAGCTCTAAGAATGCAAGCAAAGAACAACAGACAAAGAAGAATAATAAGAAAGTTGCGAAGAAAAAGAAAATTAAAGAGCCGGACGGTTCCAGTTCTGAAGATGATAACGTACCGGAACTCGCAGATAGCAGTAGTGATGATGAATCATATGACGCTGAATGTCCATACTGCAGTGGGAGGTTCTCGGAAGACACGAGAGGAGAAAAATGGGCTAAGTGTCAAGGTTGTTTCAAGTGGACTCATGAGGAATGTGGAGAAGTAACGGAAAATCGTTTTTTGTGTTCTTTATGTTTAGATATGTAAAATTTGGAATCCTTTTGAAGAGATCTCTACGCTATCTATATTTATTGATTTTTGATATTGTTTCAAAAGTGCCATTATAAAAATCGCTGTAATTATATTTTTGTTCTTTGATTAATAATTAACAATAATTGATATCTCCTTTATTTTGAANGATATGTAAAATTTGGAATCCTTTTGAAGAGATCTCTACGCTATCTATATTTATTGATTTTTGATATTGTTTCAAAAGTGCCATTATAAAAATCGCTGTAATTATATTTTTGTTCTTTGATTAATAATTAACAATAATTGATATCTCCTTTATTTTGAAGATTGATGTTAGTGTACATTTAATTAATAAGTGCAAATTAAAAGTGTGATTTTAATTGGGTATGTTTTGTTTTTCCATTTGTTATTTATACTATAAACCTGAAGGAACCTAATAAGAGATACTATCTCATATTAGCAACCCCTAATATCTCATAATAGGAGACCATTTACCTAAGACGCAATTTCGGAGTTTTTTCATTTTATCTAACATAACTAAAAATGTATTATACTTAGGACTAAATAGCAATTATATTGCTAAATATATTAAATTCCCTATTCAAAATTGTAATTTGTGACGCTCCAAGTGTAATAGTTATTTTTTTATAGTCAAAAATAAAAATGGTATCTCATATTCGGCATCTTTACCCTATAGCTGCTTTCAACTTTGTATTTTAATTATTTTCCATCTTCTTTTCGGTCTAAATTCGGTTAGTTTAAGTTAGTCCTAGTTGTAACTTAGATTAAGGACTCTTAGCTTGATTTCTGGTTAGGTTCGTCCTAGGTTATGGTAGATTAGTTTAGTTAGTGAGTAAGTTAATGCTTAAAAATAAATAAATAAATAAAATAAAAAAATAGGGGTCTTGCTTGTTTGTCTTTTGTCCGTCCATTTGTTCGTCTTGTTTAGTTTGTTGTTGTTTGTTTGTTTTTTTTGCACTGTCTATCTAGCTGTTAAGTAGTATTAAAATTCACACTCGCATTCAGTTTCATTAGCATTAAGTAATTATAAGTCTTCTTACTAACAGCCACTTGACACTAACTTCTACACTTAGCTATTCGTGGCAGCACTGAATCATTGGTGTTCGCTACACTCAGGTTTTCTTTTAGACCTTTTGGGGGACTAAGACCTTGCAGCCTAAAAACTGCACACCAACATCAAACATAGAGGGTACTGTAGCCATACATATGCCATTCAGAGGGATCCTACCTTTCTCTATTATCTATCTCCTCTCTTTCCTTCTTCCCCTCCCTTTTCCCTTACCCTCTTTTCCACTGGCTAAACACCTCGTGTACAGTCGAAGTCTTTCTTGTATGTCTGTATGGACTACTGCTTTTAATATTCTCATTAAAAAATCATTAAAAAATTTCTAAAACATATCTTCTATTGAACAAACTTGCCAACTTACCTTTTACTAATTCTCTCAAAATTGCTTGTACATGACTTGGTCTCCAAAACATGCAAGATAGTTACATACTACGATAGAATTTTACATATAAATTTAAATGGATTTTTCTAAATTTTTTCAATCTGTGGGCACCAAGCACTGTTAGGGATTTGGCCAGACCTAGAATGGGGTGACCGTATGGTAAGGGACTGGGCCTGACATATTCAGACAGACCACCCTTCCAAAAAGTTCCTGGGGTTTTTGATCCTTTGTGATTTGATCTTAGATGCCGCTATATTAACCACTCAGCCATTCAGCCATCAATTTTTTTAATAAATTATTTTCCCTTGCAAGTAATGAAATTAAATATGCATAGACTAAGTGTGCAAGCATTTTTACTTTATGCATATTTAACTTCATTATTTATAATAACTGTTGTTTTTATATACCTCAATTTGGACTTAATATATTACAAAGGACTTTCTTTTACAGATTTATAAATTCAATTAAAAATGTTGAAAACCTTTTCTATTTTAGAATATTTAAATTTAAACAACATTGAAAAAAAATCCTTATATGTTAGTTTTTATCATCATTCTCTTTTTAAAATTCATGGTTATTTTTTTGTTTTTATTGTTATTATTATAGATTTTAATTGGTTATTGTTAATGATGGTGTAGCTTACTTTGTACATTGGGCATCACCTTGTATGTTTTGAATAACAAATAAAGAATTTCAGCAAACCAAATGAATAAAGTCTTGTAGATGAATCTTTTGTAAAGCTGTGTTTAACCAGAGTTATCTGCTATGCTGAAGAACATACATGGCATGTCTAATAAGTAAAGATACAATAGCTAGTATTCATTCAAAACAGTTTTATTTGACCAAACATCCACTACACCTTATTTACTGGTACATGCATTATTTTTGTACATAATTGCTGCCGTAGTCCAAACATTTGTTAAGTCTGGGTACTAGCTTCTGTAACCCAGAGTTATAGAATTCTACAGCTTGCTGCCAGAACCACATTTCAATGTTATTTTTGATTTCATTGTCATGGATCATGGGTGTTGTCCTGCAAGATGTTTCTTCAGATAAAGAAACAAGTGGAAGTCGCTTGGAGCAAGATCTGAGCTGTATGTCGAATGGTCGAAAATGTCCCACTTGAATTGTTCAAGAAGCGTGGACTTAGACACTTCTGGAATGATTTCATACAATTCTCTTATTGTGAGATGCTGATTTGCATGAATTGCTTCCTTAGTTCTTTGAAGTTTATCAGAGATCATAGACAGCCTAACCATCCTGTGTTCGTCATGAACATCAATTATGCTCCATGGAATTCACGGCACCACTTTCTTACACTTTGTCAATTCATAATGTTTTCAGAAATGGAAACAATTTGTTTGCAAATATCTGCTGGGCACTCACATTTTGCATTGAGAAACATACCATATTTTCATGGATTGTTGGGCATGTCAGTCTATTCAGTGGAGACCAGGAAATTGGATATTCTATATGGTAAAAGCCAGCATGCCAGTTTAAGTGAAGTTATACATCTCTCTCTCTCTAGAGGGCACATGAAAAAACGAACGAGTTATATCACATAACAATGAACAAATTTTATTCTAAAACTGTGAAACTGTCAGCATTACATCAAAAGCTACAATTATATGTTTAATTTCTGCATTTCATCATCTTTCTTTCTAATGATGTAAAATACTTTACATCATTAGAAAGTGCTTTATTTTATGTTTATTTTATTGTAATTCCATCCAAAAATGCAAAAATAAACATACTAAATTTAGGAAACTTGCTGTAAATTATCTCAATTTGCACTGATTAAGTCCACTTTGTGTGAAATCTGAGAAGGTGTTAAGGTCAGGATAGATTGGATGCCTCTGTGGGGAGACAGAAGGGTTCATGATTGCCATACAGGATCAGGTCATAAATACTAAAAACTACAGAAAACACTTACTCAAAGATAGGCCAAGAACACACATGCGTAAAATTGTGTGACAGAAAACTGAATCAGAAATCAGCTTTTGGTTCACTTTCTGTTTTAAGCATTTATGCCAGAAAACATATACGTAAAAATTCTGGTTGAATAGGAAACTCCACTGCCACTAACAGTGCTACATTTTATTAATTTTTTTCTCTCATATATCTATCCCTTTGTACCTTCCATTTTTTCTCTGCTGCCTCTGCTATAATTCAGAAAATTTAAATTTATAGACTTGTATTTTGAATTAAAATAATGTGTGATCTAAATACTATACATATATTGATTCTACTACCTGTTGTTTGAAATTTAGCACTTATGGCCGTCTATACACTTTGTTTAAACACAGTGTCTTTATACATGACACATTTTTTGTCATAAAGACACTGGTGTGGTCAAACAGATTCAATAAACTCCTCTATTTTATTTATTTTTTGTGTTTTTGAGACTGTCACAATTGTAGGGTTAACCCTCATTGCCACCATTAGAATAAAAACCACGTGTCTACTTTGATGTCACAAAAAAGACTTCTCTTTATTGGAAGAAATTTGGCGTAAAAATTTTACAGCGTAAGAAGTAGAGACATGTTCTACTCTTTTTTTTTTCAGTTATTTTTCAGCCAAAATTTCAGAAAAATTTTTACACTTTCTGTTTTATGCTAGATTTTATGCCAAATTTTACGCATTTGTGTTCCTGGCCATACAACACTCACAAATGATACATGCAGAAAATGTCACATCATGCCAGAAACTATACAACACATCACTTCTGCTTGCAAGCTCTTGGCACAGACAGATTATTTACATAGACATAATCAAGTAGCAAATATAATACATCAAGAGCTTACAAAACAAACACAAATTATTTGACATCCACAAACCATACTACAAATGCATTCCACAGACAGTATTGGAAAACAACATGCACAAAATGTACTATGACAGAGCCATAATCACAGATAAAAATTTACCACAAAAGACCAGACATCACACTCATTGACAAACATAATAGAATCACATATATTACAGACATATCCATTCCAAATATTTACAATGTACAAAACACATGCACTGAAAAAATCAGCAAGTACACAGAACTTGCCCAGGAAATAAGGCATCTACAGTGGATGAATAGGGTGCTTATTGTACCTGTTGTTCTCTCCTCTGAAAGTTTCATACCATATACACTACACAAAAGCCTAAAAACATTACAGTTGAATAGAAACACATACACCACACTACAGAAGGATCCTATATTGAATACATGTCATAATGTTAGGAAATTTCTGAATATAGACACTGACATACTTATTTAATTTTTGTCTTGTTTTGGTTGCTATGTCTTGACTGGTCTGTCATAGTACACACCAACTAGTGTCAATCGAGTATAACTCACTAAATCCAACAGAATAATAATAATGTCAATAAGTTGCTGATTGCAATGTTATTATTTTATTGTAATTGGAAGAATGTTTTCTTTAACATCTATTTAACAATTAGTTTTGTTAGATCTGATTAATTTTATCTTTTAGTCAGTTTCTGGCATACTGGTCTCCCTCGGTTATAAGTGGCATGCCAGTCTATCCATGA